CTGATGATCAGAGAGCCAGATCAGCTGTGTACTTATTACCATGCTTACCAAAATTATCCCCCTAAAGTACTACAGAAACAAGGCCAAAGGAGGTGTCAATACACTGTAGGCCAGCTGGACATTCTGTCATGTGTTGGGAACCACGTGTACGAAACTTTACTCAACAGAACATGACATCTAAGGGTCATTCAGGATGGCGACAAGGTGTGCACAACCTCCTGTTGACCACCACCGAGGCAGCAGAGTCTGCGCGGCACGATTCCATGTCATCAGTCAGATCAGCACTGACAACATGCACACTGAGCTGACAGTGATTTCTGCCTCATCAAAACACTGTCAGATGTCCCTAAATACCCAGATCAATATCACTCACAATTTGGTTTCCATGGAAACACAATTTCTCACATAAAGCACACAATCTATATGGACATCAATCTCACATATCTTCAGTGTAATGACAGACATTCAACATGTAGGCTTTGAACTTGCTGCCACCTTTTAAGTTGAAGATAACTGGATCTGATTTATGTCTGTAGAAGTCTGTATGAGACTCTACTACCAATAATACAATCAGTCTATCTACTTTCAGAGTTCATGGACTAACATCTATGTAAAATAGTTCAAGATCAATTTCACAGTCGTAATCACCCGTGAAGGTCCGGGTTAGAATATTGATCTTCAGTAACTCCATGCTTGGCGACTAACGGGATCGGGTGGTCAGGCTCGCTGACTTGGTTGACAACATGTCATCGGTTCCCAATTACGCAGATTGATGCTCATGCCGTTGATCACTGGATTGTCTGGTCCAGACTCAGTTATTTACAGACTGTCGCCATATAGCTGGAATATTGCTGTGTGCAGCGTAAACTAAACTCACTCACTAACAGTTGTTATCAGGACATAGATCTGAATCACATGTTTGAAGTATATCAGGCATGTACCATTAATAAGGATGTTCACTGGTACGCATTATGAACTCCTTTATTGAAGAAATGCTGTGAAAACAGTAAGAACTGAATGAGACATACTTTGACACTTTGCACAAGGTTTATCAGTTGTGGATAAAAATAATATTGATAATGATAGTATTTAACTTTCTTTTATTCTTACCACACAAAACTTGTATGTGTAACCATCATAAGACACATTCATAACACTAGAGGGTTAGGTGATACAGTCAAAAACTGTACATTTTTCTGAAATATATTTCAAAGTGACATTCAACTGAAGACTTCTTACAGTGCAGGTTGTCATGCCAGCTGTCCACTGGAATTGAATAGATATGGGGTTGATTTATTTATTACTGAGAATACAACAAATGTGGTACATTAACCGAATCCAGCTGTGTGATATTTAAGTCAGAGTGAGTCGTGTAAGACAGGATTCCAGTGTTTAAGTCCTGTTTCAGTTTGTACAATTACTGTACTGGTGAAACTACCAGCGAAAATTGGTTGGACAATTAAAGTATTGGTGAAACTACTGGTGAAACTACTGGTGAAAATCTGATCATAAACTCCTGGCATAACAAGGGGATGCAACTCTTCATAGCAAAATGCTGCACACACATTATCAAAAACTATGCATACCTCAAGATGAAGCATTTGTGACTAGTGGTGTTCTGATTAATTGAAATATTTGAAGATTGGTCGTAGTGACCTAACTACCAAGCAATAGATCACATTTTCTCATAATCGAACACAAACGATTTTGGAACTACTGTTTTAGTGTTTGAAACCCTTGACAATGGAACATATCTTAGAAGGCCTGAAAACGTGTTTTAATTCTTAGAAAACTCACTTCACTTACTGAAAAGTCATGGCTGAATATTTCTTGAAGACTCCAGGAAGTTTATGTTCACGATATAATGGTCATCACTATAAAATAGCAAGTTGCATCACTTTACATTGGATGTGAAATTTGCAATGCAAATGCACAGTTTCTAAAAAAAACCCAGAGAACCACATTATACCTATCTGCAATAACAACTCCAAGCAAACCACTACAGACCTCTCTGAAGCAGTGGTATTATTTAAATAAGTACATGATTGAGCTGTGATTTATGACTTGTATCAGCCCGACTTAGTGACACATCCCTACAAGGACCTTGTACCAGGTCAGTCAGCTCTTCCTCATTGTGTGATCGGTATTCTAGAAGTTGGGGAGTCAATTATGAAGCATATCACTTCATGGATCACTCCATGGATAGAGCGATATTGCTCTATGCAATAAGCAAGAACTTGCTATCCATAAAGTCGTATACTTCAAGATTGACCTCTTCCTCAGTTATAAATAATAATTATCAAAGGTTGTTCATGTCCACTAGAAGGCTACATCAATTTCAAACGCCCATTTGCTCAAAATGGATGATGAATTTTGAACTGGATAACACATTTTCTTCCAAGGGTAATATCATAATTAGTAGCAGTGATTGTGGTTATACACATCTGTCTCAAGGTATAAAACCTAAAACCACAGATATTCCTTTGGATACTGCTTCCATGAATTTATCTTGCCAACATATTTCAATTTTAAAAAAAGCACTAAAACAAATTGAAACTTGATAGTAACCAGGGCCTCGTTCCACAAAACAGTCGTAGCGCTAAGATGATCGTAACTCCCATACTTTAACATAGACTTATTACTGTCGTAGCGCTACGACCGCTTTGAGGAATGAGGCCTTGTTGTTTGATGGAGCTGAAGTAGACTTAGGGAGGATAGAAATGAATATTTTTAAGGGTGCCATAACGCACCAGACAAGTAGTTTAGGTGTACCTTTGTGAAACTAAGTGTGCCCATACCTTTTGATGATTCGATTAAACTTAAATCATTACAACAATATGTCAATTTACTTTTCAATAAATCAGTAAACATCATGTAAACCTGTAAACTTGAGGGTGCGGTGGGGTAGCCTATTGGTTAAAGTGTTCAATCGTCATGCTGAAGACCTGGGTTCGATTCCCTACATGTGTACAATGTGTGAAGCCCATTTCTGGTGTCCCCCACCGTGATATTACTGGAGTATTGCTAAAAGCAGCATGAAACCAAACTCACTCACTCACTGTAAACTTGAGAGCTGGATTTCCTAAACACTATGATGACTGCAAGAACAGCTCAGCTTCATTTGTCCTGGACCCATAAACTAACCCGAAAATAGGATTTCCATTACATGAATCATGTTGTGTATTATTTTTTTAAATTTTAGTCATGCTGGCAGAACACAATGAAAATATTTCATCTGTGCCATTTCAATATTTACTATTCTATGGCACACACATGAAGCAGTGTTTTAATCCATTTGACTTTTGTGCAGCCTAGGATATTTTGGGGTGAGGTATAAGGAATATATTCTCCCTCTCACAACGACATTTCCCTCGAACGCAGGATACACTTTACTTCATCAAGATCATGTGAACCAATCAGAGACAATGCTTCTTCCCCTACTACAATACTTTCCAGAGTCCAAGCATCTTGTATGTGTACAAACCAGACTCATCCTGTCAGTGACCACCACTCAGTCTTGTCAGTACACACGTACTCTTCTCACGATGTAACTATTATGCCAGTCGCTACAACGATGGCACTTAAGTATCTTCCCCACAAACACGTATATGACATATTCTCAAGTGATTCTCTTCACAATCTACTCCAACATATCCAACATGTACATATTTTGTTGCCGTTTAAGTGACTTACGTTTGAATTTGATGGAACTAAAAACATGCTTTTTGCTCGTCTCATGTGTTTACAGCTTTCTATTTCATGAACAAATATTGTACAGATGTAGATTCTTACACCATTGTCAAGCTAAAAGGCTTAATGAACTTTTAGTAAGAATCTACATTGAAAAGTCACTCTATGGAATTAACAGAAGGTGTTATCCATAAGGTTGTATGCTTCATTATAAAATACAGAGCTAAAAACCAGGTTTGTTGCATGACCCCTTGCAGTCATCGTATGTTTTGGTTACCGTATATGACCGTCTATAAGCCAAATTTTGAGGACCCAAAAAAGCAGTCTGTAGAAGGGGGTCGTCTTATCCATGGGTTACGCTTTCGTCAAACTTTTTTCCAGGGGTAAGAAAACAACATCGTATCACTTTGCGTGAACAAACAACAGAAGACGACTTTATCAGTAGAGACGTCAAATTTGCAATTAAACATCACTAGACAAGATTATTTACCTTTTAAGTTATAAGTTGTTTTTGCTGGGCATTGTATTATTTGCAGGGATTAAGATTACCGTTCGTATTTGTCTCGTACACAAAGCCGGAAATAGCAATCAGCTGTGCACACGTTCAAACATGCACAATAATATAACGGGATGAATTCTGACGCAGTCGTCAGTAAAATATAATACAGAATACTATTAATTAACCCAAAGAAATATATCCTAGCATTGTGTAATTTTATTTACAGTTTTTATGTAAAATATATATAATCAATACTAAGGTTATACGGACCCTCATGAACGTGGTAAGCACATGGAATGGGGTAGGAAGCCATTTAAATTCACACATTTTTACCAATGTTACTGTAAACTATCAGTCAATGGAAAACGAGGCGGTAATCAGTTCGTGATTGTTGAATGGGGTAAAATAAGCAAGCCAGTTTGTTGCTACAATAAATATGATATTTAGAGAAGCAAAATATATTATGCATTTTCTGTCAACTACACTTCGTTTCGATCCGTGAGTAGACACAATATATATGACAGTGAATTCTTTGAATAATGTGGACCAAAGTTATAATTATTGGTAACTGCCAGTTGTCTGTGGTCTGTGTTTGCCGCGATTAGGACCCCATCGCGGGGGATCGACTTATGCACGAAACATACCATTTTGACACTGATTTTAAGGGTCAAGTTTGGGGGTCGTCTTATCCATGGGGCCGTCTTATAGATGGTCATATACGGTATACAATCTGGATAACCTCTGCAAATGACAATCAAGGAAGATTGGCAACTGAAACTCTAACTAACATATCATGGGAACATGAACTGACCTTCTTCTTCGAACTCATCAAGAACTTTGTCGAGATCTACAAAATCCATGGTCGATGTTACCGAGTCACTGAAACATAAAATACAGTACAGCCATCACTTGTCATGCTTCTGTCTTTACTGTAGCAGTGTATACACACTGAGTGAGAAGTGGTGTTTCCATGGTTTCAGTACACTGGCCCATCTACAAGGCACATACCTTCACACCTCAGTCATCAGAAACCACCTAAACAACTGTGAAACAAAGGCCTTCAATCTGACTGTAACAAATTCTGCATGAATACATTATTATTTATCAGTTCATATCGTGATGTGGATGGATCCGCTATGCATTCGTCTCAATGAAATAGTTTATATGACAAAAAAGATATTGTCTCTAAATATATTCCAAGGCACCTCTCCAAAATGTTAAATGATTGATTCCATAACGAACCAGTACAACTCACACAGGGATGTGACTTACTTAGTTATTACATTAACAAGCCAATGTCTTATATCACATTCTATAACACTTCACAACTATAACATGTAAGTATTTGAGTATGTTGAATCATAGTAGAAACATTTGTCTATTCTCTATATCATCATAATCAGTATTTATAATTGTGTCACAAGGACAAAATGTTTGTATTCTTGTATATGTACCATCAAGAAAGGCGTCAACCAAAGGTTTCTACAAACTATCCCATCTAGGTAGATTTGTTTGGTTCCTTGTTTAACAGGGCACTCAGCAATATCAAACTATGTGACAGAAGTCTGTGAATATAGAATCTGGACCAGACAAACCAGTGATTGAACTGGGAGCAAATATCCACATCATCAGGACATGCTGACATGCCATTAACCACGCCATCAAGTCAGACTCTGAATCCACTAGTCTACTCCTACGACCAGCTGATGCTACCAGGGATCAATTCCAACCCAGAACCCTTACAGAGCTCGACTGAAGTATAGTAAGTTTAAGATGACATGGTTGTATAACTTAGCCCCACTAGGATATTCTCAAAACAGTTAATGGGATACAGTACCGAGACCATGTGCCAGGGAATCCCTAGATTAATTCTACATTCATGACATCAACAACTCTTGAATTCAAAACCTAGATCAGGGATATCAACATGAAATTAATTCTTAATATAATACCACCGATTAAAATAGTGCTTCATTTGTGTGCCAAGGCATGGTAAATATTGAAATGGCACAGATGAAATATTTCCAAAATGCCATGGTAGCACAACTACAATTATGAAAATAATTCTCACAATGATTCATTTAATGGAAAATGCAATAAACATTTGACCAACTCAAATGATTCAAAACCAATTTTTGCACCCCATCAAACTATTTACCGATGGCACTCTCACGGCCTAATAAGGGTGTGGCCATCTGGAACAGCAGCACACAACAGGAAATCCTGTTTAGTATTATAACATAGTTTATGGGTCCAGGACAAATTCTTTCAGTCATGACAGTGTTCAGGAAATCCTGCTCTCAAGTTCACAGGTTTACATGTTTACTGATTTAGGGAAAATTAATTGAAGTGACATAAAGTTTGACAAGTTTTATTTAATTTATTTATTATTAATATTTTATTTTGTTTAAGTTTAATTGGATCATAAGAAGGTATGGGCACACTTCTTTCACAACCGCGAACATAAATTTTCTGTCTGGTGCCCAAAGACACCCTACGAAAAAATGTATTTCTATCCCTGAAGACTCATTCTTCATTGGAAGTCAAGGAGTACCACTATTACATTTTGAGGAGGCATTTCAGAACTAAATGTGCATCAACCTTTTGAATTTTCATATATGGAAACTTGTCACCTGACCTTTCCTGTTCAGTTTTTTCAGTCCTATCTGGGCAAGGTGATTATTAGGTTTATCTCCTACTTGGTCTAACAAGAGTCAGTTCCACCCTGACGTCAGATGCAGTGTGTCTTCCTTCTCATGATAACACGTGAAATCAATTGCAACCATGTCTGTGCAATAACAGTGTCTTGGTAATAACTAGCGATGGCGTATCTTGACACAGTAGACCAGTTATTGGCAAGGAAATTTACTTCATACATCTATGGCATAATGTTTACAAATTGTCCATGCCAAAGTACTGGACATGTATTTATTTGACTTGCAATGAATCATTGTATGGGCCATAACTTCAGCATATCTTAAAAACAGTTATAGTGAACATGGACCTGGTGGGGCAGGTTAGAAAACTACAGCGCATGTAGGCACTTTATCTTTTTTCAAGAGCCATGTTTTAAATAATAACACATTTTCTAAATTGTAAATGGCACATGACTTTCCTAATCTTGGTAGACCTGTTAATAATATTAGGGAAGTATGCTGGAGGCATACACGGGAGAGCTCATGAAGGCTGCTTTCTGTTTGATGAAAATGTATACAGTACTTTCCCCTTCCTTGAACATGCATGCCAAGTCTGCCAAATGTCTACAACGACCATGGACTCTTGGATTTACTGTTCTTTCAGCTATTTCAAGGGAGATTTCTTAACAAAGGACTTTGTTTAACAGTGGTTCAACACCTCATAAACCTGCAGGTGTCTCTTTATGGGGAATTAGCCTTCTCAATGACAAAATGCAAAAGTCACAATGAGCATTTCATCACAGGATGGATACTAATTTCAGACTCAGAGACTTAAGTCAGTTAGAAAGAAAACTGAAAATTAGGAGAGAAGTAGAAACTTTTAAATAGTTTTTAAAATGGTTGAACTAAAATAGGTACAATGTCACAAAATACCCGCTAACAGCAAAATTGTTACTTTCTTAATCATGTTAATCCAACAAACAAAATCATCAGTAACATTTATCAATATTTTAAAAGTGTAACATCCTCCTGCAAGAGAGTAACTTGAAGTTAAACAACACAGACTGAAGCTCAAACTACAAACACAAACTGAAGCCCACTTCCTTGTCCAGCTGGTAGACTACACCATGATTACGGTCAAAACAGATCATGAGTGAGTATAGTTTAACGACGCTTTTGCAGTATTCCAGCCACAGCGGGGACACCAGAAATGGGCTTAACACATTGTACCCACGTGGGGAATCAAAACCGAGTCTGCGGTGTGACGAGCGAACGCTTTAACCACTATCCTACCTCACCGTCTCAACACAGATCCTGGTTGTTCACAGTGCACGGTACTGCCTTGATATCCTGTACACTACATACTAAATAGCAACAGGATCAGAGATCACTTCTGTCAAATGTTGAAAAGACATTTTTAAGTTTGGTTTGGTTTTACATGATTGCCAGATATATGTGTTTGCTGAAAGACAAGACAAACATGTGAATGTGACACAACTTGAGGAAACCAAATGGCAGAGAATCATCCTCATGTGGAACTTGGTTTCATACAAGCCATGCTGCAAAGTATCCATGTTACTGCTGGTTTTCATTACATAAGCATGATGAACCCTACATCAAATAGTGTTAAATACGAAGGTTTTGAATTAGGGTTCAAACCTACATGATTGTAATATGACTATAATGACTATAATATGTGCACACTGAACATTATCACTATCAGCATGATCAGCATGGACAGTATCAGACAATGGAGACATTCAATGAATCTAAGGTCTTAGACCCTTAGAATCTACCTGCATTGGGTGAATACTGGGGAAAAGTAAATACAGGCATAGTACAACTAAATGCTTGACAGGAAATGATATTGTAGCCTGAGCAATAAAATTAATGTGTCCTGTGAAGCTCTGTGCTGTACACTGTGATCTAATCATGTACTATCACTTCCTGGGTCAAAGTAAAACCAGACTGTCACTATGTCACCTGTATCTCCCATAGGACCTTGTACACACACAGTGATGCTGTACACAGCAATGATGGAGAAGTGGAGGAAAGTTTCCCATGAGTAAAAGTACTATAGCTACAGTCACTATTGTTCAAAATTCTGATTAACTCTGGTCTGCTATAGTCTTAGACACATATGTCAACATTTTGAAATCTAACCACCTTAAGAGCAAATGTGGCGATCTGGTGTTCTCCGGATAATAGGAACCCACGTCCGTTATCTCCTCCATGAACATGTAATGTTACACAAGAGGCATCTAAGATTTCTCCAGCACCAGATAATACGATTCGGTCTTGAAAAGATGTTGACCTATCCTCGAAATTGTTGTCAATGTTGTCAATGTTGACATCTGAATAAACCTGGTATTTATATATCTACTTAAGATTAGGACCGTAACCAAATTAAATAGGAAATATGACGGATAGAAGAAGGAATACCTTAACTAAATATCATTTCGTTGGTTTCTTGAGGCACTTCCGGAGACCAAATCACAACAAATTTTCCCTGACTCAGTGGAGGTAGTCTCTTGCAGTCGCCATATTAGATAGCCTATTTCCATTCGTGACTGGTCGTGATTTTTCGGAATACGTCGGAGTTTGATAACATTTGCTAATTGATAAATATCATTCCATGTCTCCTTGAACAGATAACGATTCATAATAAGTCAACATCACATTTTAAGAACTTTGTAAAAATAACAAGCTCTAAATGAGGCCCTACTGCGTATTTTTTCTTTTCGCCGTGGGGAGCTTAAAATTGCTTTTACTAGGCTTCTGTCTACGAACAGGAGAAAGAGGATTTAGAGCACAGTTAACCGCGTGTACCAAGAGCGAACCTAGTTTGTAAAAGGAAACTACCATTTCACAACATATTCTATATGTAAATGTGTTACCGTGTAATGATTTGATTTGTTCTGTATATATCAATTCCATCTCATCTCTTGACTGATACGTTTTTTCGCAGAACAAATAGTTTTCTCGGAAGTATCGCTCGCCGGAAACAAAACAGAAAAAACAACACGAAAGAATCGCCAAGTCACGAGACATACCATATCCCCCTTCCTGTGCTAAATAGTAAATCACGCACCTTCGTGGCAAAACTGTTTGTCAAACAGAGGAATGACAAGTTGATAAACATTTATTATGTGTATTTAAAAAGGCGATATATTTTATCAGGTTTTGCTCAATGTTAGAGTTTGTAATGAATGACTTTATCCTGAATGGATCCTTGGACATGTCGGTTTTAGACGCTGGCTTGTCACCATAGCACAAAGGTCAGGTCTGTGGTTTATCATCAGTCCCTGGTCGCTGCTCAGCACCAGTCAAATCAGACCTGACTTTTTTGGTCTGCTAAGTCACATTGTGTTATGTGTAATGATATAACAATATCTGACTCTTAGGCTGTAATCTGGAAATACAAGGCACAGACTTTGTTAAATTTTGATGAAATCTTGTTAAATATGTAGTGTTAGTTTCTTTTAGCGGAAAAATAATAAAGAGGATATCACCTCATGTGTTACATTGCATACAATTAACGAGGTAAAATGAAGCATCAACATTACTGTGAATATTCTGGGTACTTGCTGAAACGAAAATAGATGTACACATGTTGTGAAATCCCGTTAAGCTCTATAACTGCACTTTTCTTTTCTTCGCTACAGTAAAATGAAGAAAGCGCCAATTTGCACCGTATTTCAGTTATAACAAAGCACGCTCATAAGCATGTCATAAGCAGGGATAGAATAGAATTCAAACCTGCTACCAGCCGATCCTTGCACTAATAAGGGACGCAACTATGCACGAAAATTATACATGACCTCTTCAACTAAACCAGTGGGCCGCCCCTACTCATAACAAATCGAGTCGACTCAGCAACAGTTTAATATATGTGCTAGATAGTTGGTTTTCGTTAATTCAGATTGAAAATCAAACTCATGGTAATACCGTGTCCTATGAAATTAGTTGTCCGCTCGAAAATGCATACAGAGCATATGTATTTATTTCCCGATATTTATCGTTTCGATTAGATGTTATCAACAGAGAACCGCTTCTCCTTTATATATGTCATTATGTTTGAAGAGAATAGTATCGATGTATGAAGGCTCCGAACAGCGCTTTCTCCATTTTACTGTAGCGAAGAAAAGAAAAGTGCAGTTATAGAGCTTAACGGGATTTCACAACATGTGTACATCTATTTTCGTTTCAGCAAGTACCCAGAATATTCGGAATAGTGTCACATGTAGATCTTGGTTTCGCTCTGTCTACAGGAAGATGGCTTCCTCTTCGCAAACATCAGGACAACTGTTTGATTTTCTCCTAGTGTTAGATTTTGAAGCCACATGTGCACCGAGGTAGGGCTCAGGGTGAAGGGGTCGTAGTTTATTCGTGAGAACTAAAGCCTAAGGGGTCGTTTGTCGGCACGGGTACTACAGTAGGTACCCTACAACGAGACAATTCCGCATTGTGCCCTTTTCTGATCGGACTGTCATCCTGTTTTATCAGATGCATTTGATTGCTTTATATAAGAAAAGAGCATACACAATAACGGATATTTTGCGATGCACAAGATCAGTTAAACGGGAACAGCTACATACGGTTTCGTTTTCGGTTGTGGAACTTGGGTGTAGGACAATTCCCCACACAGACATTTCCCCACATGACGATTCCCCACCAGACAATTCCCGTTCACCTGAGTGACAATTCCCAACACCTTAGTTTTTTATGATTTGTGTAGTTGAGTTTTGGAGAGGTAGTTACAAAACAGGAAAGACTTCCGCTAGTATCCCCCCTTAAACTTCATTCTAGTCAAATCATATCACCTGAATTATATTCCTCATCTGATATGGATGAGTTTTAACGTGTTTCTTTAATTGTATCAGAACATACTGAAAGACATATTCAACTTCTAAAAGTGTTGCTCAAAGAATTTTTTCCTCATCCTTAAAATTTAGGGGGGATACAGGTGGAAGTCTTACCACAAGACAGTTACTGTTGAGGTGAGCTTTATTTAAATCGCAATTGCAAATCAAAACTGAATGCTGGTAGTATATAAGTAAAAGTGGAAAATGTGACATAATAGATTTCAAGATGGAATTCATTAAGAACAACCATGGCGGGTTCAAACTTTGTTATGAAGGTTGGTTTATACATGTTTATTTAAGAAACGAATGGATTGGCAAACAAGCTACAAGCTTATATTAAAATGCTGCTCTAATATGATTTACAAAGGTAAATAAACCAAAATTATCATACAAGATAATCGCATGGCAAACCACAAGGTTAATGCACAGTCAGGTGATAATTAATATTTCAATAGCAATTTCATTATTACAACCGATACGTTTCTTAAAGCTAACAATTCTTCAACCATCTTTGTTACCAAATCTACAAGAAGCAGTGACGAAGAGGTAAACAAGATAGCTAGGTTATCAAGATCAGATATTCCACTATTTCCATAAAGAATTGTCTTTAAGCTGTACCCATTTGTGTTATGAAGGTTACATGTACACTAAAGGCTACACAAGAAAAAACACAGTAAGGTAGGAGTTAGACTAATGCTTAGTCTCTGAATATATATAATTTTGATGGTAACAAACAAGCCCATTTAAATTAAATAGAAGCCCTAGGGAGACCAGAGATTCAAAACCTCAGGGAATCTAGATTGCTTTATTTAGGGCTTTAGCGCTGCAGAGAGGGCTTGGCAGTAGGGAAATAATGTGGTTCAGGGACTGTGAGGCAGACTAGGTAGGACTGTTCAAGCAGTTTGTATTTATTAGCACAGGTGCCCTGACTACTGATGTAGAACATACAGTAGCTCACTCTTCAGTACCCCACAGTACTGATACTGTGCCTCTATGTACTTAGTAAAGAATGTGGACTATATAATAAAAGTGTCTGATACTGACAATTAAACTGGACATACAGATACCGATTATTGTTAAGGAATGTGAAAGAATGAATAAATATATAATAAAAAAGTCAATATCACTTTTGTTGTTATTTATACTTTTTAATGTGTGGGGAATTGTCCAAGTGAGGAATTCTCTTGTGGGGAATTGTCTGGACCCCGCGGAATTTGTCCCCCATTTAGGGTACTGGCTACGTTTCTGTATTTTGACTTTGTTTAGGGTACATTTCTGCATACCTCGGGTACATACCTGTAGTACCGTGTCAACAATGTCTTACGACCTCCTACTCACACCTGAAAAAACACTCATTCATGAATAAGCAAACACAAACATAATCTTTTTTCCTACAAGAAAAGTACGCATCAGTATTTCTTCATAGGCTAACTCAAAATAGCCTTAGAATATATACATCTTGTATTTGAAAACATGCAAGTATTAAAAAAAACAAATAATAAATAACTTCTTTGAGTGGCATTTTTAGAAGTTGGAAGTCTGATAGAACAAGTATATATACATAAAACAAGTTGTCATCCATATATACTTGTTCTAAATAATAAATATCCGCAGTCATTTGAACACATCTGATAACTTTGATAAAGATGTTTAAATATACTATTCACACTTTGCTAAGGATCAAATCGTGGATTCAACAGAAAACTATGATGTGGGGTCAAATTTGGTTTAAATATCTAAGCTTATTGTAAGCATGGATCCTAGGTTTCAGTATGTCACTGCATCTTGTGGAACCTATTAGTGTTGGGAATTGGTTGAAATCTCACAATTGATGATTGCTTCATTACCAACGAACAATCATCAAAAAAAATTGGTTACCGTCATTTTTCAGATTTTCCTATCCAGGTTGTTATTGCAGATATGTATAACATTATGCAACTTGCTACTTTAAAGTGATGACTTATATATCATGAACATAAACTTCCTGGAGTCTTCAAGAAATATTCAGTCATGGCTTTTCAGTTAGTGAAGTGAGTTTTCTATGAATTAAACAAGTTTTCAGGCACCGACAACTTCAACGATATGTTCCATTGTCAAATATTTCAAAGACTAAAAAAGTAGTTAAAAAATCGTTTATGTTCGATTATGAAAAAATGTGATCGATTGCTTGGTCGTTTGGTCCCTTCGACCAATCTTCGATTATTTCAATTAAACGGAACACCACTAGAACCTATACCTGCTATTGACAGGTGTTGTGTACTTGTCAATGACTCGTTCCATGATTTGCAAACTGGTTAATTGCTGCCATGAAAACCATGTTTATGGTTACTCATATATCAGGTGCATAAGGTTAGATTAAGGTGACTGGTTGCCTGAAGAGGGGTTACCATATTATAATTTATCCAGTTTTAAATAATTACAATTTCAAATTATGAATCTACGTTTAAGTAAAGTTGTGAATTTTTGTGATCCTTAGCAAAGTGTGAGTAGTATATTTTGTTTATTTCCAATGTTATGCAGATAAACAGCAGATACATGCCCCAAGCTACCTTGTCATTTTGCTGTTTTGTTTTAATATCAGCATTGGTTAGAAAACGTGTTATCTGGGATGCCTGACTGTACAATGTTTCCAAACAATTTCCTTCTGAGTAATTACTGTATTCTCTCTTGCCAGGGGAGAGACACTTCAACCTCAGGTAAGTCTGAAGACTTTTTGGTTATTTTACAAAGAAATGATTACAGCCAAAAGCTATGAATATGCAATACCATAATACCATTTAGAAAGTGGTCAAATGTAACGTTGACTCTGAGGGTGTGGGTTCGAATCCAGGATGGGACTCAACCCAACAAAGGTACTAGAATCTGTACTTTACTCAGAAAAAGTAATCCCAATTATAACATATGTTACATTTGACCACTTTCTAAATGGTATTGTGTATTCATTGTATACAGCCTGAGTTTCTGTATACCTTTAGTCCAGCTTACCATGACTGTTTGAGACACGCTTACAGCTTACAGCTTGTTTTATTATGATGGCCGGTGTTAGGGTCCCAACTGAGGTCTCTCGTCAAAGACCCCTTTCTAATTGGCGTGCTGGTCTGGTTGTAGGGACTTAACCCAGCAAAGAGTCCAAAGTCACAAGAAGCTAATTACAATTTTATTTACAAGAACAGAATAACATGGGGTGGCCACAGAATCGGTACAACCCTCTGGACTGAGCCTGGAGCTAACCTGTGTTGGGAGAGTCAAAACCCTGCTGCCTAGCAGTTGGATTTCCTCACTATTTATCTAGAATTGAAACAATTAAAAGATTACCATACCTTGATGATACAAAATTTGGTGTGCCCTATAATAACCAATGAAATGGCCAGACAGAGGGGAGTACTTAATCCAGCTAATCCTAATTCAACTGGCAGTAATCTCGTTGACACCTTTACTGGATATTTGTATGATTATGGTATTACAATCGATGCACTTACTCTGGGGTAAGTTTTAACTGCCCTAGATTGAAGTGTTTGCTTAATATTATTCTAATATATGTGATGACATGTTTACTTTATGCAATAAATCAAAGGAATTTATTAAACTGTCAAGACGTAGCTTTTGTCTTACTGAAAGGTGTGTCTAAGAGAGGAGTCCTTATTACTTTCGACTTGAGTCTTTCTCTAAGCTATTACAGATCATAATGAAATTAATATTCTATAAATATATTTTTATAATATTTGAATCCTAATATATCACTTGTAGTGGTAATAATTAATAATGAATTTTTGTATGAATTATCCCTTCATGATTGTTTCCTGTCTTGAGTCCCCAGCAGTACTTTTGTTGTTTTTATCCCCCGCCTCGCGTTTAGTGCGAAGTGGGAATATAGTATTAGGCTCCGTCCATCTCCGTCCGTCTATACGTACGAATTTGAATATCTTAAGATCCGTTGACAAGATTATTTTCATATTTGGTACCTAGGTTCATCACAGTATAAGAAAGGTCCATGTCAGGTTTGGTGACCTTGACCTTCATTTCAAGGTCACAAGGGGACTTTAACATTTTACTCTTGTCAGTGAGATATCTCAAGAACCGTTTACTAAATTTTCTTCATATTCAACACCAAGCTTTATCTAGGGAAGGCACAGGGCCCAGTCGATTTTGGTGACCTTCACTTAATTTTCAAGGTCACAGCGACACTTTGAAGATTTCAGTATGTTAACCTGCATGTTGAGATGGTCAGCGAGATATCTCAAGAACCATTCACTGGACTTTCTTCATATTTGACACCAAGCTTCATCTAGGGAAAGTGCAAGGCCCAGTCGATTTTGGTGACCTTCACTTAATTTTCAAGGTCGCAAAGACACTTTGAAGATTTCAGCATGTTAAATTGCATGTTAAGATAGTCAGCACGATATTGAAAAAATCATTCACTTGATTTTTTTCATATTTGACACCAAGCTTCATCTAACGATGGCGCAGGGCCAGTCAATTTCGGTGACCTTCACATAATTTTCAAGGTCACTGCGGCACTGAAGATTTCAGCATGTTAACCTGAATTCACTAGATTTTCATCATAGACTTTCAAGACTTCCCTTGAATGTTTTTCAATAAGCAATTTCTTTAGTACCATTTTTGCATATTTCATACACTATGACATTCATGTCAAGGTCAAAGTCAGTCTTGAAAATATTTGCGTGTTTGAACAACTAAAGAGCAAGATATCAAGAGAGGTTGACTGGTCATGTTTTTTGTTGACATTTAACTTCATCTTAAACTTTCATTACTTTTTAAGTTTGATTTGATAATTTGCGATGGGGGGGATTATGTCACCTTAGTGACAATGCTTGTTTAAGTATGACTCTGTTGTTTGTCAGGAAATCATTGAGTTCCCATGCCTGAAGGTGAACACCCAGACTGGTGACGTCGAGTCTCAGTTCCATCAGTATGTGAGACCACGTGTCCATCCCCAGCTCACAGACTTCTGCACAGAGGTGAGGAGACTGCCATGCTTCACAGGACGTGAAACTGTGCTTCACTAAGTCATTTTACATCCATAGCACCAATCAAATACAGCAAGTTGCAACAATTTTTCAAATTTGACACTCCATCGAACAATTCTGGAAACTGTTGTTCTTTCGATGAACTGAGTTGTCAGCGCAAGGTGATTGTAACTCCCGTAATTTAATACAGCCTTGCAGCTGTCACAACATGACATTCATCCAACAGCGGACAGCATGGCATCAGGCTTTCAGGACACATTCAGCTGACAGTGTGATATGGCGGAAACACAGTCCAAGACAGCATTAACTCACTCACTCACTCTCACATGACTATATTCACAGGAATTATATAATGTTTAAAAACAGGCCATTATTATAGAAGTCTCTGTTGTAGCTGACAGGTATTATCCAGGACATGGTGGATGGACAGCCCCATCTTGAAGCTGTGCTTGAGGTTAGACTCTACATATTTTCCTCAGATTTCTCTGTGTTATTACTCTGTTGTAAAGTCTTTGTTTTTGTCCTCACTGAAACTGATTTGACGGTGCATATCATGACTATCTTGAATGGCTGCCGAGTAACTGAGGAAATAAGTCTGTCCTCACTTCCTGTTACAGATGTTTGATGGCTGGATGGCGAAGGAGGGCCTGCTGGATGGGAAGACCACATCTGCCTTTGTTACCTGTGGGGACTGGGATCTCCGCACCATGTAAGATCTTACATTGTGATCAAATTGTGTCCCCAAATTAAATCCAGGAGTACAATTTGACCATGTCAATTATCTATCGGTTACAGTATTCCTAGTCATGGCTAGTCTCCAACATGGGGGAGGTAGGGTAGCCAAGTGGTTAAAGTGTTCGCTCAGTACTCCAACGACCCAGGTTTGATTCCCCACATGGGTACAATGTGTGAAGCCCATTTCTGGTGTCCCCGCCGTGATTTTGCTGGAATATTGCCAATGTTTTTTATTGTTGTCACTCAAGGTTGCCTGGACAGTGCCGCCATTTCAACATCACACCAAAAGCATACTTCAGCAAGTGGATCAACATCAAGAAGGTAGTTGCTTCATCGAGATTGCACAGTTTTCTAAAGCACTTGATAACCAGTACCAGGTCGCCAGTAGCCCAGACCCAACTGGAATAGACTGGAAGCAGTATCTGTTTCAGAGTAATTTCAGACTGTAAACAATCTACGTTTTGTTACCCTCAGTTGTCCCCGTGGGCCTGATACTCACTTGGTTGTCAGTTTAAAAAAACACTGACGCAGAAGGCAAAACACAAAAACACCCACAATAGATGACTCTTTTCAGCGTAGAGGTTGTACGTTCAGAAATTACAAGATACATAAACTAATACATTTGCATGGTCATGTTTTCTTGCGTTGGTAACTTCCCCAATATATTCATTTATTTAGGTAAACAAATCATGTATGCTTCTTAGATTGCATTGCTCACGCTTCCCATGAATATGTGACTGTGGAAGCCTTGACGCTCACTGGCTGATTAGACAGCTCTGTATACCTGTGAAGATACGGGTTAGAATTGATATTTAGTAACCCATGCTTGTCGTAAAGGCGACAAACAGGATCGGGTGGTCAGACTCGCTGACTTGGTTGACAAGTCATCGTATCCCAATTGTGTAGATTGATGCTCATGCTGTTGATCACTGGATTGTCTGGTCCACACTTGATTATTTACAGACTGCTGCCATATAGCTGGAACATTGCTGAGTGCGGCGTAAAAGTAAACTCACTCACTTAGAAAGCTCTGTAGACACAAGCTCCTGTGTCAGGGTCTTCCACAACCTGTCAAGATTTGGCTTTGAATGATCTTCAGTAACCAAAGGGGTTGAGTGGTCAGAATTGCTGACTTGTAGTGTTTTGAATTGGTTGAAATCTCACAATTGATGATTGCTTCATTACCAACGAACAATCATCGAAAAAAATTGGTTAGTATAATTTTTCAGATTTTCCTATCCATGTTGTTATTGCAGATATGTATAACATGATGCAACTTGCTACTTTAAAGTGATGACTAATATATCATTAAAATAAACTTCCCGGAGTCTTCAAGAATTATTCAGTCATGACTTATCAGTTAGTGAAGTGAGTTTTCTATGAATTAAACAAGTTTTCAGGCCCTGACACCTTCAAAGATATGTTCCATCGTCAAGTGTTTCAAAGACTAAAACAGCAGTTCCAAAATTGTTTGTGTTCGATTATGAGAAAATGTGATCGATTGCTTGGTCGTTTGGTCCCTTCGACCAATCTTCGATTATTTCAATTAATCGGAACACCACTACTGACTTGGTTGATAAATGGCATAGATCAATGTTTATGATAACCTTTACTGCATTGTCTGGTCAAGACATAATTATTTTCAGACCGCCGTCATGTTGTTGAGTGCATTTGTGAATCAAACAAACATGTCCTCCTGGAGATCAGTATCATAGATCTGATTTACTATTGCATCATGGCTAGGGAGGACAGCTTTATCAACATGTTGTACAATGCTGGAGTTGTATGTTTCCAGAGTTGTGCGGAGGCCACATCCGTGTTCCCCCGGGGGATGATGGGCATGCTGTCCATGTTACACCTGCAGCACACGGGCAGACATCACAGCGGGATAGGTAGGTTGGGCGGAAACGGTAACATTGTGTCTGGGTTTTACGTGATGCACAAATGTGCGCCCAGATTTTGTTCAAAAGAAGGTGATCAAAATATGACACAAATATATAAAATATACTTGAGATAAAGAATCGTCTGGAGAAATGAAAAACTAAACCTTGCTGCTTGCCTAGTGTCAAAGTTTTACCTCACTTCCTGTATTTGTTACTGTTTTGTTAAAAGAAGTGAAAAGAGATTTTTTCTTTAAATATGAACATTTTCATTTTCACATTTGTGTAAACTTGTCAGTATACCTGTGGCCCGAGTAATGAAAACCCTGAGGTGATCTTGCTATATACTCAGGGGTTTCACTGACTGTATACAGAGTTGTTGTTGCAGATGACTGCACCAACATCGCTGCCGCTGTCAAGGAGCTGATCAGAAGGAAGTATGTCTTCAAGCACAATGGCCGCTGAAGTAGTAACATCAAGTGCATTCACAAGCCGACACCCGGTGCCAATGATATCTGAACTGTGAACATGTGTTTTTTCTCCAGTGATGTCGTTACCAGTCCACCTTTATATATACAACAGCAATGGCCTTACCTGATTATGCAGATTCATTGAAGTAGTATGGATCTTGAGATGCTTCCTGAAGACGATCAGTGACATGATGTGAGGATGTATTGTGGTTTAAACAAGCAATAAGCATGAGTCAGGATAAGTATAAAATATTAATTTTACTCTAAAAATTTCATTATTTCATGAAAAAGCAACGACAGAATTTTCATGAACTGGATTGGTCAACAAGAACTTATATGAAGACTGCTCCAATATACATAGATATATGAAACAGTATCATGACAAGAAGAGATGATATCTAAAATGAAAGTAGATAGTATGACATGTAGTCGGAAAATTAAAATCTTGATGGTTGTATACATTTATGGCATCTGCGGTCGGGATCCATAGTAGTATAGCTTTGAGAATTATAGGTTTTAGTGTATGACTTGCCCAGTTAAAGTGCCTAGTTTCAATTATAAATAGATCGACTGATTTTAAGATGTGTGATTGAATTTGTGGGTCCATGGAAGACGTTCCGTATAAGATTGTTTCTAATGAAAAGCCAGTGGTATAATAAAATGTATTTACTCTTACAGCATCAAATCTGGGACATACAAAGAAATAATGATGTGCATCTTCAGTAGGGTGGCCACACAAACAATCTGCTCTCTCTGATATATGTCTGTTGTGTTTGTCAGGATGTATTGTAGCATTGATGTCCGACAGTCAGGTTTATTGTGTGCCAAATGTGTGACAGTTTACTTATCAGGTGAGCCAGAGTCGTGGCTGTGTCAGTAAACACTTCCCTGGAGATGTGGAACCATTCAGGATGGTGCTGAATCACTTGAGGGAGTGATTGTTGTCTGGCATGAACATCAGCAATATTTCAGCAACATCACACATCAGACTGGGGAAGTATATACCTGAAACACTGAATGTATAATACCTATATTATTCCTTATCATATTTTACTAGAACTTTTTGATGTTTTCAAATGATCTTTACAAGACAGTAGTAAAGGCTGACAAACAACATGTTTTACAAGACAATGACTGGCCAGTGAGATGGCTACATATTGTGACATTTTAATTTTCCGACTACATGTCATACCATCTACTTTCATTTTAGATATCATCTTGTCATGATACTGTTTCATATATCTATGTATATTGGAGTGGTCTTCATATAAGTTCTTTTGAGCTTGTTGACCAATCCAATTCATGAAAATTCTGTCGTTGCTTTTTAGTGAAATAAATGTTTAAAGCATATTGTGACATGGTCATGCTGTAATGTCTTCCCCAGTCTACCTGCAGAGTCCCCACCTGCCAATCATCCCATATCTTGGGGGACTTTCTGCTGTTCACTGTATATATCATATTTCAATAAAACATTCAACACCAAAATATATTTTGTTTTGTATAGCCAACTTATGATGAATGATGTGAATCACAAGGATTAACTGCTCGTAATTCCCTAGCTCTTAGTAAATCAAATTTATATACATTTCACATGTTGAATAACTGCTGTATGGTGGTGTTTGCTCCGATATGTGTTTCCGTTGGCACAGTGGAGATGTTTGTTTCAGTAGGCACAGTGGAGATGTTTTTAAGAATGATTGTTGTTGCTGCGATAAACAACATAAGACTAGGGAGCCATGGTCTCATACTCTTGTTTATTTACTTATAAAAGCAAGGTCAAATAGTTCATGTTAGCATTCTGTACTGTTAGAGGTGTAAAACTAGCACAGCTTTTCTTTCACTTCAGTTTGGTCAAGACTCTGTTATATAATTTAGAAATTGGTTTACAGCCGATTCTTGTAAATTTTCTAATTGAAATTGTTTTACACCACATGTGGACCTTGTCAGAGCTTTAGCTTGAGACTTGGAATAGGTGGGATCATAGTGATCTTGTAGGATACTCTCCACAAATTCTTTGAACCGTTCATGTGCTAATAAATCATACCAGTCATACACCTTTTTCTTCCCAACAAATCTTGCTAAAGGAGCAAGTGTAGTTTTCAGGTTTTCCACGTCAGATATCCAGTGAGGATAATCCTCCATGATGTGACAAACACGTTCTGACATGGGTAAATTCACTTCGTATCTCTGTCCTTCACACATTTTGTTGAAGAGTGTTCTTGGGATGGTAACTCTTCCAATCCGCCTACTCTCTGACTCCACCCACACCGGTCTGCTACTGTCCAGCTGAGCCATCTTGTCCCGTAACAGAGACTCCCACATCTTCTGGGAGGGCTGTGTGTGGTTGTGCCACAGACCAAGGGTGGACCCCTTGTGGCAAGCTAAACCTTCAAGGTCAAGGACTTGTTGGCCTCGTTCTGATAACTGGTGAAGAAGAAAAGTCTTGCCACTTCCTGTTAAACCTGAAAAGGTTATAGTTATTATTAGTATAAACCATCCACTTCACTTCCATAGGTGAACAGGAACCAGATGTTGGGTTTCCTATTTTTGTTATTTTTTTTGTTTTTCGGCAAACCACAAGAAGTCACATAGATCTGAAAGAGGGAGATAAAGAAAGAAAGGTTTTCACAATATTCCATCAATATCACAGCAATAGACAGCTTTAGAATAGTTGTATTTGTCTTACCACAATAAAACTTTGTGGAATTGGACCAAGGTGTTTCACAGAACCCTACACTTCAAACACTGGGCTACCCCAGGTGAAAGAAATATTTTATGAGGTGAATAATTGCATACAGGTTTACTGATCATCACAAGATTGTGCCATCAAAACGGTCAGCAAATATTACAGAACATTTCTAAGGGCATTGAATATGTCAGACACAAATGCTGTTAGCAGAAATCCACATGATTCACACAAACATCCGAAAACCAACCTGATATGACCCTGAAGTTCATCTCCCTAGGAAGGATATCAAGATCAGTTGTGACAATTTGCCGATATGACTTGTAGCCCCCTTTCAACACATACACACAAAATCCAATCTCGGCCAGAACCACTGCCAGACTGTTAGACCTTTGACCTCCACGCCAGCAGTACACTAAAGGTGAATAGTTTTCATCTTTTGCCAGGAAGTAGTTCTCAATATGTTTACTGATGCAGCTGGTGACATATCTGGCCCCAAGTTTCCTGGCCTGGAAGGCATTGTTTGAATACTGAGTACCCACTTCAACATGCTGGTCCTGTGTTAGCACCGGCAGGTTCCTGGCGCCTGGTATGTGGTCCACGGAAAACTCCTTCTCAGTGCGGACATCTATCAGTTCGGATGCCTGAGGTTCAAAAGGATTGCAAGTCTGCTGAGGAGATCTGTATAAACAGCTTGTGTCATGAAATGGAGCAGTCTGATGTATGGCAATCTTGACCAGTCTTCTCACACACACTGTCCCTATCTGCATCTTCAGGCACATAGCACCATAGAAGCTTGGTGCTCACTGACGTATTTCTACAATAGACAAATATGTGCTCAGAAACATGATAGTGATGATTGTTGGTTTGTTGCTTAATGGCAGGCACACCAATATTCCTGTTCTATGACGGAAGCCCATAAATAATCGAAGTATGGACCAGACAAGCAGAGTGACTTTCATTGTGAACAACGATCCTGCTGGGGTACGATGACACACCATAACCAAGTCACTGAGGCAGACCACTTGATCCAATCAGTCATCACTACAAACAGCATAGCTGCTGTGTGGCTGAAATAATGCTGATGCAATGTTAAATTTTAACTCACTACAACCAATATAGGCTGCTATGGATCCATTCTAACCAGGAATCCCCACCGGTCTTTGGGATAGGTGAGATGTTTGATAGGCATTTAGAAGTTGGTAGGGTAATACTAGACACTTGATATGGATGTGCAACTTCTTTATTATTTACACATGACATGGTTATGACCGACATGTGCCTCATGTCCAACAAAGCACTTTGAGCATGCATGTAGATGGGATGGACTATAGCGCTGTATAAATACCCATATACTAATAATGTGTACTCCTGAATATCTCTTGGTTGTAGACCAAACAGATAAAGCTCACTACAACTGCAATAGGTCTATGTTGAGGTATGGGAGTATGGAGCAGTTACAATCACCTGTAGCCCTATAAGCCGCACCTTAGCCCTATAAGCCACTTAAGACGAACTTAGACCTATGTTGAAAGGATAGGAATTTAGACTTTGTAAGTGCTTTGTGAAATTGGTTCCTGGATTGTCAGGATTCGCACTTGTTGATTCATTAGACGTTTGTCTTCCTAAGAAATACTGTGAATTAGGTTTATCTCCTGAGCAATAAATGTTCCATGGACACACTTTGTAAACCCTCCACTGTAAATACTGAACAAACTTACTGCTTAAGCTCAAGTGATGCGACCTAGACATCAAAGTGATGCAAGGTTCATGCTAAATTGCAAACTTTGCAAGTCTGAGTCAAAACAACATTTTCTAGCATGCACTAGCAGTGAACATTTTACAGTTCATTAAGACTACCTTAACCAGTTACCAGTTGGAAGTCAGCTCTCTTTGTGATGTCAATGAGAGTACAAGTCTAATGTTGTCAGACTGTATCTAACCAAAATCATAGCTATACTTGTAAAATATTTTGACGGAATAGGGTACTAGTATATTCGTTCGTTGTAAAAAAAACCTGGACTTTCATACTTTTACATTAATTGTTTATGACAGGTAGTAAAAGATAATGAAGAGGAATGACATTATGTTCAGGTCTAATGTATGTTATGTTCGGGATTACACTTTCTCAGTAAAGAACATATTATAAGGCAAGTACACTTTAGTTGGGGGTGGTATCTTCTCATCCGAGGCGAAAAAACTATATATATTTCAATTTTTCATTTATCCATCGTGATAAAAAAAAAATGATAGGTTAGAATTTGAGCAGAAAAAACACTGCGCACCTATGTTGTGTTTTTGATTTCAGTCAACCGTGCAGCCACTGCAAGGCACGGTGGCCATGTCAAGTTCCTCGCAGCGTAGTAGAGCACTATCAAGGTAACGAAGGCACCACGCGCTGGTAAGGAGCTTATGGAGGAGGTAACAAGGGAGATAACTTAAGTCAACTGTGATTTTGGTTTGTTAAAAAGCTTGCTTGAAAATTACGAAATGTGTAATTGTGTAGACTCATAGTGAAATAGACGACATACTATGCCAAAAGCTGCCATCCTTGAAACTTAAATGTGTGTATTTGTAAATATTATTTATTTGAAGGACGGTTTGCACTAAACATCGTTCCTAATTTGCTACCTACTTGTTTTGTCCGTATTATATATCCGGTTCTAGATTTTTGTACGAGCGCCATCTGCGGACGGAGGAAGAAAAAGTTCGTTTTCTTCATAAGTTCAGTTGAGAATAAATAGCTTTTACGACATGATTACTTATACTGGTATACATTCATTGTTTAAGTGAACGAGATAACCTAAGCGATATAGTTCATATTTCATTTTCAAATCTGATGAAATTATTTGTATTTCTGTAAAAGTCAGCAACCGGCTTGCTGATTTTTCACGTTGGTCGAAATAATGGACCCCTGCAAAATTAGCGATACTATCAGCGAACGAATTTAGATTTTCTGCTTTTTCCGAATGGGGAATCCCAAACTTTACAGATTTAATGTGACGGCAGTTTGACCAAGAACGAAGAAGCGAGAACTGCTTTGCTCTGCCTGAACTGGCTCGAGTCAGTTCAGTTACAAAATCGCCAGAATTACATACTAGTCTATTTTTGGATGATTAGATCATATGGTTTATAAAAGTGTTAAGGCATGAGCACACATGTAGATATTGGTGATTTGTGTCGAAACAAGTGAGGTATTCATGATGCTCTTATTCTTGTCTATCAATCAGAATCATTTGTCACGTTTGTTTCATTTTGTTTCATAGTGTTTGCTGCAATGTTTGTTGTACACATTGTCTCATATTGCAGACAGCTTAAAACACACTTATATGATACTCATTTTTAATCACATATTGTAGTCATCTTGAACCAATATATGAACTGATATGAAATAATTCATTAACTGATGTCTGGGATGATATGCAGGGATTTATCTTGGGTTATGAATGGGAAGAGCTTGGGACAAAATTGTCATTCAAAATTTGATTATATTATTTTTCATTTTCATAAGTTATGATTAAATGGGAATTGTATATTATCTGCTACAGAATGCCAACCCCCAGGTCTTGGTATATCCTTCATATGTGTTGCTTAATGTTGCAGTGATATGGATTGTCTTAAAACAATTCTTCTGGTTGTTTCAATCAGTCTGCTGGCCTCACTCCTCATGTTCCAATTATGTTTCAAATCTACTCCAAGTTAAATGCTTGGTCTACCAATACTTTGCAAATCTTGCTGATACGTTTAGGAGGAAGTATCTGGATTCTGGATCAGGTTGCAGCGTGTGACCTGGGCCTTGCTACTGGTTTTATCTCATCCACTAGTTCTTCTAGACCAAAACACTTTCCTGTGTTTTATCAAGACAGATATTACCTACAGCATATAAATTGACTAGTAATAAATACATTTGCTCACTCCAGTTCATCTAAAGTTGACAGTTTTGTTATGCTAAATTATCAGTAACATTACCAGTATCATGTAATGATGGCTTGAAAAACTTGAACAGGTTGCTAGCACCTTATTGTACATCAAATACCTCACTGCCAATTAATCACCTCACTACACAGCTAACACCTCTTTTCACATTTCCAACATGTTTTTACCTTCAAATTCATTGACTGTTGTTATGAAATGAAAATACAATGCTTTTAAACTAACCCTGCTCACTCTAGAATGTCATTCACATACGTTATAGTTTAGCAAGTTTACCTCTATATTTTCAGTTAACTCTGGTGGGTTTGGAACACCATGAGTATATTTGGTGGCACATCACAATTCGGTCAGTCCAATATGTTCGGTTCATCCACAAACAATACAGCATACAATCCAATGAAGGACATCGAGGTAGGTGAAACTGGCTTTATTTGTCCCAACTGGATATACCAGCTATTCGTAAAGAGGAACACTACTTGCATTTTGAAGACATCTGATAAACAAAAAGCAAGCAAACAAATTGAAGCTTCATCATTCTTAGAAGTAAAGGTGGTTTGGAGGTTTATTCATAAATAATTTGAATCGAGGTACCACTTAAACATGCTAAATCTTTGAGATTCATCATTGATAACTGATCCCTTGAAAAGTTTTCATATGTGTGAAGGAGTCAAGAGAACTTGTTACCATTATCATGTTCATCATCACGATTATCTTTATGACCACACAAAATGCTGGGCTTGTTTTCAGGTTGCCTCTCCTCCTGATGACAGTGTAAGTTGCCTCAAGTTCAGCCCCGGCACCCTACCCTCCACATTCCTTGTAGCAGGCAGCTGGGACAACAACGTGAGTATTTGGTGATATACATGTATATATATATAACGTCTTTGCTCATGTGAATATTACAGATTAAAGATCTGGAATTGCATTCATGTTCAACGTTAGTGTGAAACACTTCCTGTTATCTCACTGATGTTTGTCTGTTTTATATCTTTGGCAGGTGCGTTGTTGGGAGGTTCAGCAGAGTGGGCAGACCATCCCCAAGGCCCAGCAGACTCACACAGGACCAGTTCTGGATGTGGACTGGAGTGATGTAAGGCCTGTTTGGTACCAGGCGTTGGGGTAGCCTAGTGATTAAAGCATTCGCTCATCACACCAAAGACCTAGGTTTCAATTGCCCACATGGGTACAATGTGTGAGGCCCTTTTCTGGTGTCCCCACTGTGATATTGCTGGAATATTGCTAAAAGAGGCATAAAACTAAACTCACTGTTTTGTAAAATGGTTTTGTATATTGTTTTCTCATGAACAACATGAACTTCAGTAGCTGATTCAAAACTAAATATAAGACAAGATGGACTTGATTATCCCAAGTGAAACTGTTCCTGTAACATGAATATCTCCAGAGCAATGGAAATATTCACACAATACATTATAGATACAAGTCACAAAATATTTGCTAACAGTTTCTACAATAGTTGAGAGGCAGGTAATCCATTGTTTTAGCAGTACAGAACAATATGAACTCCCACATTGTGAAGTTGGTTGGGTGAACTAACAATACAAAGCCTGTTATGTGACTATTGAAGCCAACATTTTGGAACCAGTAAGCATAGAAAACAACAGTTAAAAGCATTACAAACATATTCACATGTATAACATTTGTGTTACAAGCCACAAAATGTTGGCCTGTGCCTGCAAGACTATTATTTTTTCCCCCAGTGAAACATTTCCACATATTCCTCAGAATCCCTTAACAACAGTCAGGCCAAAAAAAAAAATGTTGTGGTTTTTAGGGTCGGTCGGTCGGGAAATCGAAACCACAAGCTTTTTCTTTTTACGCCTCATACAGTTTTGTTGAAATATATCTCAGAAAGCCTGTTGACATCAAAAGACCATCCCAATGATTATGACCACAGAACATAAAGACTCCCTGTTAACAAGTACAACCTTTAATGTGTGACTAGTGGTCCTTTACAACTATCATTCTTCTGTATTACTGATGCATGAATGGTAGGACAGTTGTGGCACAGATCAGTACTCTAGGTGTCCTGTTGTGGTTCTCATTACCAGTCACTCTGAGATGTAGCATACTCTAGTAGTTCCCTGCCACACACAGCCAGCTTCTGTGGCCAGCTATGCACAGGACGTGACGTATTTTCCTGGTACCCCAGAACATGACGTTAAAACTCTCCCTTTCAAACCCCTCTTGGATTCCAGGTTCAACTAGGCCCCCTAGCAAACCCTTTGCTGGTCTTGAGAAGAGACTAAATGAACTTGTTGACAAACGTCTTGGCTCTTGTCTCATATCCTAATGTTGGATCATGCTTATAATAGCAATCGCTGAATTGTCTGGTCCAAAATAAACTACAGTGGAATCTGTCCATTACGGACTGGACTGGCACCGGATTAGACAACTTTTGTCCATTACCGTAGATACTGCCACGATGAGTCACCTTATATTACCGCAGATGAGCTGAATTTTGAGGACCAAACAAAACAGTCCATAGAAGGTTGTGGTCTGAGTTGGCCGCAATTAGGACCCCAACAGCAGTAATGGAGATTGTTTTTTTCAACGGACTTATTTTAGTCATTAAGTCCGGATTGCAAGCATTGTTCTCATAGCAAGTTGATTGTTAGGACTGTCAATTTAGTCTGTAATCCGTAATTGAAAGAGTGGACTATAAAGCTGCTTTAATGATAAATTAAGAACAATTTTGCCGGGACTCAACGAGTAGTCCAGATAATGGAGAAAACCGGGTTAAACAGAGTCCGGATTTGACAGATTCCACTGTAATATGTTTACTTGCTGTGGACATATAGCTGGAACATTACTGAATGCAGCATTAAACAGCAAACAAACAAACCTATCTGTAAGTGCCCCTCCCAGCTGCACTGTAGTGTATGACTTACAGGTAGGCAGTAACTGTTAGGAAGTAGGTGATCATTGAAGGTTGTGTTCCCAGGATGGCACCAAGGTGTTCACAGCATCGTGTGACAAGACTGTCAAAATGTGGGACCTCAACAGCAATCAAGCTTTACAAGTAGCACAGGTGAGATATGCATGTGTTATTTTTATGCTTGCCTTATCCTTTACAAACCATTGTGGGGCTGTGGTTTTGGCTAGTGGTTCTGCTAACAGCATTTGTGTCGCTCATCATGGTGAAGACCCGGGTTCCGTTCAAATCCTCACATGGGTACAACATGTGAAGCCCATTTCTGGTGTCCCCTGCTGTGATGTTGCTAAAAGAGGCATCAAACCAAACTCACTCACTCACTACAAACCATTGTGTACTCTTGCAGTTGAACATGTGATGATCATTTACATATGCATTGAGCAGGGTTTAAGATTATTTTTTATCCCCACTTTTCATTTTGGGGTTTTCAATTTTCTGTTTACCATGTAATGAAAAATGTTTGCCACGCTTGTATGAGAACCTTTACTGTGTTCACTGAACAAGAAGAATTCATTTCATATATACCTTGTTCTGCTAACTTTCTGCAGGTAATGTTATATGTAATGAGTTCTGTTGAAAGAAGACTGCATGGGTGTTCCAATCGTGTAATGAGTTCCAATATTGACTGTGCAGTGTTGAATCTCTTTGGCGTGCCAAAAAAAACCATTGTTGTGGGTTTGAAGCACAGCTTTCCACTTTCATGTTCCTGGGCTTGTCAAGCACTATGCAGGCGCCTGTTTATATCCAGAGTAGTTCATGAATGAAACTTGCATCCTTTGGGCCTGCTCATCAAATTGTGATAAGTGAGAAAACAGATTTTCGTGTCCCTCTTGTTTGTTTGCATAAAATTGTAATGGTGCTAGGTGAAGTGTTCGCCTCTATGGCTGCAGTGTTGTGTTGGCTGTTTCAGCATGATGCTCCAATCAAGACAGTGCACTGGGTGAAGGCCCGAACTACAGCTGTGTGATGACAGGCAGCTGGGACAAGACTCTCAAGGTAAACCACAGAACTTCTGAATAGCTGTAGGGATTCCTGGTCACGATAGGTCCCCAGTACCCCATGCTTGTTTCCCTGTAGGGATTCCTGGTCAGGATATCTGGTCAGCCTATCTTGTTTTGATTCCTGGTTAGGATAGATATCGTATGTAGAATAGAAACAAAGCATGTCTTAAGAGTCAGCAAGCCGTCTTAAGAGCTGTATTAGTAGAGTTGTTACCATAACTGTAAAACTAACAAAATGAATTCATGACAGTTTATGGTACCATGTTTATGTATAATGTTAAAGTGTCTTTCTCCCTCAGTTCTGGGATACTCGATCTCCCAACCCCATCATGAACATCCAGCTCCCCGAGAGATGCTACTGTGCTGATGTGGTGAGTAACAGCCATCCATATGAGCCATATAACAGCCTTTAACATCAACACAAGTGCTCTTAGGGTACTGGGTTCATGCCTACTAGACATAGCACCCATAAAAAGACATACATAGGTTTACAGGGACAAAGTTGTCATATGTAAGTTCACACGGCCAGAACTTTCAGTTTATGGTTACTGTGCCAGAGGTGGATGGTCGTCTGAGGCTACTGGGTGTGGCAGGTTATTCTGGCTTCCAGTTTCTGTTTGTCATGAATATGTTTCAAGGTTTGTCCAAACCCTTGCTCCTGAGTCTTTAGTTGTAAACATCTACTTGGACCCAGCTTCTGTTTGGGTCCAACTTAAAAACTTACATGCTGTGATAGGTATAGTTCTGAGTGCAGTGTGTCCCTACTCACTGACTCATCCCTGCGCCTGGCTTCTGGGGACACACATGTAGATGAATGGGTGACAGGTTCAACAGTTTCACATCTGAGAGGTTTTTGTGCTTTGGTCTTGCCCCTCACTGATGCACATGTCATATCACTTGAGGCTAGTGACTTTTTGTCAGAATAGTTCTCTGTTCATCTTGCGTGAAGTGTTATGTTGGGTGTTATATTTGGGGTTACTTTTCTAAGTAAAGTACAAATTCTAGTACTTTTTTAGTTCAACCCCATCCGGGATTCGAACTCACACCCCTAGAGTCAGGCACCTAATCGCCAGCACACAAAGTCAGCCGCCTAACCCGCTCAGCTACCGCGACTTCCACTTCCGCGGGTTAGGCGGCTGACTTTGTGGGGCTCAATTCAAAAAGTACTAGAATTTTTTTTACTTTACTAAGAAAGTGTAATCCCAACTATAACACATGTTACATTTGACCACTTTCTAAATGGCATTGTGTAGATGATGATGATGATGATGATGAAACAGATAATAATAATAATAATGATGATGTACCCTCAGCTTGCCTGTTTCTGTTGTAGAAATACCCCATGGCAGTTGTTGGCACAGCAGGTCGAGGTCTCATCATCTACCAACTGGAGAACCAGCCTCAAGAATTCAAAAGGATGGAATCACCCCTCAAATACCAGGTGACAAAGGCTTCTGTATTGCTATATGTTGTTATAATTAAGAATGAAACATTTGAACATTTAATGTCAAGAAATTCAATTGTATTTTCAAAATTCCCAGGAAGTCTTTTTATGTAACCACATATTTGGATTCTAATCATTTGCAATTGCCTCTGTTGAAATTCTGACCTCATGAACACAGCATGTCATTTCACCTTCTACAAAGTTTCTTCATATTAAAACTAAACACTCGCTCATTACAAATTGCAAATCTGACTGCAGCTAGACTGAAGGTTAGCAAGGCTACTTATATTTATTAATATGCTCTCTTTGTTGGTTTGTATTTTCAGATTATTCACTTGTGAAACATTATTCCACCAGTAGATGTTTTGAACAGGATCTTATAGTTTCATCATGTTGCAAGACATGAGACTCATTCTTGAGTTTGTCTGTTTGTTAATCCCTTGCTTCTGTGTGTACAGCATCGCTGCGTGAGTATCTTCCTGGACAAGAAGACGAACGCTCCTACTGGCTTCGCACTGGGCAGCATCGAAGGCCGTGTGGCCATACACTACGTCAACCCCACCAACCCCAAGGACAACTTCACCTTCAAGTGCCACAGGTCCAACGGAGCATCCAACGGCGTGCAGGACATATATGCGGTAAGTTCATGTGTGTGGTCAGTATACGGTCAGCTTGGACTGATAGTTGTTGAGACAGCCTGTTGGGTTGAGTGGATGGATCATTGCCTCTGAGAGAGGAACATTGTTTGGTTTCATCCTCTAGCTGCGTTATACCCAAAGATGTTTACAGATTGTTTTTGTTACCCTGCCTGGCGCTCGACATTAAATGGATAAAACAAGGACTGATAAGCTCGGAGTCATCAGGCCTAAAAAAAATAATGTTGTGGTTCCAATTACCCAACCGACCCTTGAATTCTGGTGCCGACCCTATTTTTGAGCGGACTGAATAAAATAAGCTTTCAGATACCATTGTTTTTTTCTCGGACCGACAGATATCGGTCATTCTCATAGATAAAGTCAATATGATGGCCGCAAGCTTGATTGAATAAACAATTACACATTGTTACATGTGTTATTAGTTTGTACTTTACTTCTTAAAAAAATTGTAAAAAAATAAATTCCTACCTACCTACCCTAAATTTTAAAGAGGTGTAATCGAACCACAACATTTCTTTTTTTTTTCTTTTCTTTTTTTTTTTTTTTTTTGGGGGATGCCTCTCATACTACGTCTGAGAGGGGTATGCATATTAAACTGCAATATTGTATCTCAGTGGGAAGGAAGGCACTTATAAACCAACAGTAGTCAGGATTGTATATACCACTGTATAAAACTTTAAATTCATTAATGTGACAAGAAACCCATTTGACCTCCAAACTCCATACAGTGGATGTGGGCATGACTCCATGGGGGAAGTTGTTGACTTAAGTTCAGCAATCTGTGATCAATTTTGCCCCCTGTGTGTTAAATGTCACCCACGGTAAAAATGGCTGACGAGAAAGTCAATCTTGATGCAACCTTCCATGGTCTTAAAGCAGAGAAGTATCATACCTTAGAAGAAGACCTCCATTTAGTGAGATTGCAAATTGTATCACTTGGCAGTTGAGTTTGTTTGTATGTAACTAATACATTGTTTTGCCTCATGATTCATTGTTCGTAACACGATAATTGACCTCTGAATATGACTACAAACATCTCAAGTCAGTACATAATTTCAGAATGAAGTATCATGTACCATATCCTGTGATTTCCTTTTACCTGATATAAACACTGATGCCTCTCTGCTGCAGGTGAATGACATCTCGTTCCACCCTGTCCACGGAACTCTGTCGACTGTGGGATCCGATGGCCGATTCAGCTTCTGGGACAAGGACGCTCGCACCAAACTGAAGACCTCGGACCAGTTTGACCAGCCTATCACCACCTGTAACTTCAACGCTCAGGGCAACATCTTCGCCTACGCCTCCAGCTACGATTGGTCCAAGGTCAGAGCAAGCTGAAATTATTTAGTGGTCATTCTTCACCAACAGTGCTAGGAGCTCCATTCCTTTAGTTCCCCACATGGGTACAATGAAACCAATTCTTTTTCCCCTGCTCCAGTATTTTTAAAGTGGCCCCAAACCATACTCACTCACTCACAACTGACACCCAGCAAAGTGTCTGGATTAGAATAGATCTAGAACAACCTATGCTGGTCAGAGGAGGTGACCATTTAAATCGTTGGTAGTCAGCAGCACATGAAATAAGCCAAAAATCCAGCCAGACATCAGGGCTGGTAACTTCAAAATGTTACCAGCCCAAAATGATTTAACCAGACCAGACACCAAGATATGGTGAATTTACTCAGATGTATGAAACTTCTACAATTTGTACCAGACCATCGGGCTAGCTAGCTGTAAATTTAGACTGTCCGTCAGAAATCTAGCCCATTTCGGATGGTCGGACGGGCTTTATTTCATAAACTGTAGTCAGCCTTGGCAATTTGGTCGAATGCGTGATATTGTTTCCTGAAGGCATGGATCTTTCCCCATAATGTTGATCTCTGCATTGTACGGTCCAGGTTTGTTCATTCACAGGCCTCATCACATGGCTGGAATAGACCGATCCAGTCTGTCAATCAAAACTAACGATGTCGCCACTTTTAGCCAATCAGAAGGCCGGGCGGCTGTGTGGATTTGTCAGACTTATTTCGGGGTCAAACGATGCCTCCGGGTTGATGTGCTTTGAATTATGCCATTTGCACGCTATATCTATTACATATTGCTGTGATTTGATGTGTACCTTTACCAAAACCATTACTGATCAAGACAAAAAAAATTGAGGCAGATCAAGGAATGCGATAGGCCTAACGAGCAGTTAAATGTCGGCACGGTCGTTCCACGAAAACCTACGTCTGCTGCTCGAAGGTGAGAATTTACCACAATTTACACACTTTTCGCATTACGTGCAAAAGCATTACCAATAGATGACAACAAATAGCAGTTTAGTATTTTGCAAGTGTTATAAACACGGACAATTCTTGTAACTACAAAATTGTTTTGCTTCACGTTTTTCGTCACTACTAGGCATTGAGTTGGTACACCATAAACCTGAAATGAGACAGGCTAGAAAGCCGTGACACAATGTAAACAAATCTGACAGCGAGCTGATTTCGGTTAGAGGGTCGAATCGAAATAGCAAAACTTGTTACATTAAAGAACAATGTGGTGGATATGGTTGCATTAGCGATTAGATATTCTTAAATTTGTCACACATTTTAAGATGTTTTAAAGTTTCAAAAGTTTTAAAGTTTCTGAAGGCCTATGAACAGTACAGTATCTGTTGATAGTGCAAAATATTCGAGGAGTAATATTTTTTTTATCCAAACGAAATATTGTCAGTGTCAGCAGTTGCCTATCACGCAATATCAAACGCCAAAATTAATTCAAATGAGTGTCTATAAAACCATGTCTTAAATATTTCTGAATTTCTATAAAGAGATGGGACCTTGAATTGATTTAGCTTACTCCATGTGGATCGGAGACGAAAACTATGTGAGAAGAATAGTGACTTTCTGGAATATCGGACGGAGTGAAATATAAGTTTATTTCCTAACTATGAGAACATTATTTGTTTTGATTTTTGTCACAGCATACTTTTTTACATGTAGGGTGATGGTTGGGGTGGGGGTTGGGGTATATTGGTACATTTTAGGAGTAATTACATAGTTCTGTCATTTTAATTATAATTCACTGGAAATGATAGCGAGGTTTGTTTTAAGAATCTTGCCTCCTTCAGGAAACGTGGAAAGGTAATAAAAATAGGGAATAATCGAATCAATTATAAATAATAACTTAATTGTCCCACATATCAGATTCATGTAAATTTAAGGCAGAACTAGGCAAACAAACACTATATACATATCATGGCTGAACAATCACTTGGTACTAAGATAGCTAGATTGTTTTAAGATATATTTGGTCTTTAAATAATATGTTTACTAATAAGATTATTCAGAGAGTGATCACTAGTATCATCACTCATAATAAAGTTATTTCAACATCCAGAGAATTTGAAAAAACCCAAAGGCTACGTTTTGTTCACACTCAGGCACTATTCAGTCTTGGAACCAAATAACTTACAGAATTCTAAGTTGACTGTTCATGTAACTGGAATGGATATTGAAACATATCATATTCAACCCCGATTTCATGTAATACTTCTTAGAAATCATCAGCTTTGAGGAGGTTACCAATATTTGAAGACTGAGCCAAAACAGTGTTTATTAAGATGTTGGTTTTGGACAAATTGTTAAAGGTTTGTTGATGCTTATTTGGAAAATAAGCTTAAATTCATATTAAATTGCACACTGGTTTAATTGCAGGAGGTGAAAGCTTCAGGACATTTTCATGTATGTTTTCCTAAACTTTTGTTATGACTTTTACCAAATTTTTAAGCAACTTTAATATAATTTTGATGACACTAGTAAGTATCTCAGAAAAGGAAATAGATCAGAATTAGTGTTATGTCCCTAAGGGATATGGTCTCAGATCTAATAAGATTATCATTGTTTAAGAAGCAATAATGTCAATATGTAATTTTATTGACAAAAAGCTTTAAACTTTGAATATGTTCTTTGCCTCTTATTTACATTAGTAGTTAGCAGTTAAATATATCTGAAGAAAAAGCAGTATATTTGTATGTTGTGTAACATTCTATTTCAATGCTAGTTAACTGTTCGGATTACTGTGGATCCTCTGTTCAAAGATTTTGCATCACACGTTTCCTATTTATGGAAGATGTGTCAGTGTACAGGTGCAGACTGTATCTTGGATTCTTTGTGTTTATGGTGGTGTGACATACCTGTAGATAAATGCTGGCAGTTCATGAAGTCCATTATAGTGGAGGTTTGTAGATTAGGATTCCACAACAAAGTACACATAGAAAAATAAATTGGTAAGGATTATTAAAAAAGCCAGTGTCATTTTAAGATGGTGTACAGATTTTGAAGAGAGAAATGTTACTGAGAATAGCTGCAGATTAGCTGCTGAATATTTGCTTCTGGGTATGTCCAGATACATCCATGTTAACAGGTCAAGTAACGTTTTCCAGATAATATATACAGACAAACAAGGTGGACGAAGTAGTAGACGGGATACTGTTTTCCTGCGTTGTTCCTTGAAAGGTAGAAACCCATGTTTTCACAAAATTCTAATGTAACTAAATTTGAACAAGGGATAAATAAATAAAGGTGGCACGCGCAGTTTTGACAATCTTTTTATAGATACCGAAACGATCTGCAACTTGCACATGTGGTTGTGTTCACGGTTTTATAATATTACGATGGGAATTTTTAGAAAAGCAACAAACAACATAATTCAGTTACCTTTCCCCTGCTAATAACTTTCCGCGAGCGTGAATTGCGGATAAATTATTTGGTAGAAAATGCGGCTTCATTTTTCATCGGCATGTAGATCTACATTTTCACTTTCGCATGAATTATACAACCTGTCAACTAAAATATATTGAAAATAAAATACGTATAACTTTCCTTTTTAAATATCATTCACAAGCAGCCGGATACCAAAAGTACAACAAACAGAATTCATCAACAACATTTGCAATCACGTTACGTTTCACCGGCGGTGACGCCATTGTGATTAGTCAGTGGTTGTCCCCCTAACGTCAAAAGCGAAGTGGAAGTGGGCTTATCGGCCGGACTGGATCGGTCTATAGTGCTGCAGCAAATTGACCATCTTGAGTCTTTGCAGAATGTGCTCCCAGTGTTACAAGTAGCACTTTCAGCTGTGACATTGCTGTCTATCTGTGGCATTAAATATTCCCTCACTCCATGAGAAATAGCTGGTTTAAAGATTTGACTTTAATATTTCAGGGTCATGAAGGGTACGACCCACAGAAGATGAAGCCACATATCTTCCTCCGGTCTTGCTTTGACGAACTGAAGCCCAGCACCAAGAGGTCCTAAGCTTCTCCTGCCTTCAGCCACACACAAGATGGACAATGGTTGCAGTCATGTGTCATGATATTCAGCAATCATCTACATGAAAATACTTCTTGCGTACTTGTTCACTATGGGTCAAACTATTCGGTGATATATGAATAAGTTCAAGGTCATATTCATTGTAAATATTCATGTAATTGCCATTGCTTGTGTCATCCTATATGTCTGTGTCATATACTAGTGCAATGTCTGGCTGTCCCAGAGTACGGTGGTGATCAGAGATATCAGTTGACAAGGGTCCAATGACTGGTGATCCTCACTTGAGAGGAGGCGGACATTTCGAGTGAATCAGCTATTGTCTAAATGAGTACATATTGTATTTCACATGAAGCCTTCCTAACAGTCAGAGTGACAGTGAAGTATGTCATTTTAATTCCCAATATGTAACACTGCTTTTTCCATGTTCTGTAATGTCACTTTAGTACATGTAAAATGACGTTTTGATGACTTACAACTTAGGAAGAGGTCATAGTGATTAATGAAGGTGTATTGCAGAAGCTGTGTGTCACCTGGCTCCGGTATATCTCATACCTGTATACCTGGTGGTCAGCTCAGAGTATTGATGTACATAAGCCTGATAAGACAATAAACAATCTTCAGCAGCTGTATTACTTGTGTTGTCAATTATGTTAACTCATATGGTGGTGCAGACCAAGTGCCAAATACATCTTAATTGTTTAAATGATATAATCTTGAAACTACATTAATCACCCTCTCAGTGTAGGTGATATAAGCCAAAACCAAATCAATTTTCTTTTTATAATGTACTAGTATATTGTGAGAGAATCTCTCCCCATCAAAACCTGAAATGGCTGCAACATAAAAAAATGGCACCCACTTGACAGTCATTGTATATTTGATGTAAATTCACAGAGGTATAAGACCGCCTCCGTGGTGTAGTGGTTAGAGCGTCCGCCCGGAGAGCAGAAGGTCGCGGGTTCGATCCCCGACCACGTCATACCAAAAGACGTTAAAATATGGTACTTGTTGGTCCCTGCCTGGCGCTCGGCATTAATGGGTACAACAAGGACTGGTTAATTTCGAGGAGTTGGCTGCAGCATGGTATCTCAGTGGGCTAGTACTATAAAACCAGCTAAGTCTGGGCTAGTACAAGCAAGCAGCTACACATGCACACGCACGCACGTCGTCATATGAGCGAAATATTCTCAAGCACGAGGTTAAACCCAATTTCACCTCACCTCACAGAGGTATAAAACTTGGCGATGATAGTGTCCTTTACAATGTGTGTTTCTATGCCTTGACTGGTTTAACTAAATTGAAATGATATGGTTCTATTCATAATTCCATGATGAATGTTGATGTTTACACAATGGTCACTAATGTTAACCTTGTTAGAAAAATGTACTGCCGAGAAAATAAGGTATTGTGGAATAATATCTGTGATGAACGAAATTCTAAGATATCTAACAAACACGTTTGCAACAAGCATTGTTCAGAGGTCCTGGGTGTTAGTGTTGAAAAAAAATGATTCTAAGCATGTGTTGGCAAGTTTTTAAATGCATCTTTTGAGTGAGTTTAGTTTTACGCCGTACTCAGCAATATTCCAGCTATATGGCGGCGGTCTGTAAATAATCGAGTCTGGACCAGACAATCCAGTGATCAACAGCATGATCATCGATCTGCGCAATTGGGAACCGATGACGTGTCAACCAAGTCAGCGAGCCTTACCTCCCGATCCCGTTAGTTGCCTCTTACGACAAGCATGGGTTACTGAAGGTACATTCTAACCCGGACCTAAATGCTTCTTTTGATTCGGAATATATAATTGCATCAGTGATCTAATCTACTAATGTACGTTTTCAGTCAGTTTTACTGTTGCAAGCACTACTGCATCCGTTTGACTGGTCCAGTTAGTGCGTTATTCCACTGGTTCCCCCCAGGTTTTCAGATCCTCCGAATCTCAGCAACATTCAGCCCATCACTTGTCTTTCACCAACTTTTTTTTTTTTAATCAAAGTTAATTGGATTTGTTAATATTAACAATACTTATACCGACACCAGTGTAACATGATCTCCATGTATTAAGTATGGACCAGACCAGATGTCACGGTGTGTTCCAGGTAGATAGTGTCTCGTCGTTATGAATACCAGCTCAGCGTTCCATCCCTTGTACACGTTCATGATCGTTTGCCGTTCAGTTCGCGGGGCCGCCTCCGCGGTCTTGTGTTTAGAGCATCTGGGGCTGGGGGAGGTTGATAGTTCGATCCCTTCCCGGGTTACGTCGATAGACGTTCAGGATTGTACATGTTAGTGAGCCAGGGTTCGGCACCAGGACTTGTTGGAGTATCCTCATTCTCTTCCCACAGAGGTTACTCCTGTCATATCTTCCTACATAACCTCTGTTCTAATACGACCCTTTCTTGGTGTCAGCGTTCAAGGCTCGTGATTGGAGACAAAGCCGATTTAGTTGTGCAATCAGCGACGTTGTTTCAAAAGTGATCATTCGCAAGGCCTCGGTAATTTCCGTATGCTTCGGGAAAACTAGAACCTCTTCCCGGCGCGATGCGCAAACGTTTCTTCTAGACAGAACTCAGTCATGTAATGGCGTATCAATGGCGTCTCCATCGCCCTCGTTGACAACGGACAAGCTAGCCATTAAACGTCTTGTGTGTAACATCAACACAATTCCCCGGCAGATGGGGGATATTTGTGGCCCCGCATTTGCTTGTGTTAGTCAAATTGAATCTAAGTCGATGTAACACGTGTTCTGATTGGATAGAAAGAAGGGAGATAATTCGTGTTGCGATCTTTTGCCGCTAGGGGATTTTACGAGGACCGGGAAATATGGCCGTATTAGAACAGAGGTTACGTAGGAAGATATGACAGGAGTAACCTCTGTGGGAAGAGAATGGAGTATCCTTTGTCTTGGTAGGGTCTTGGTGTTAAACTGCCGCATGGTATCACGTAATACATGGAAGAAAGCAAGCGCTCTCACACAGCACGTTTGTTAAAACGCCGCACTAAGCGACATTCCAGCTGTATGACTGTGGTATGTAAATAATCGAGTCGACCAGACAATCGAGTGATTGATATCATGAGCATATCGATCTATGCTGTTGGGGTATGACAACAATCATCAGCCAAGTCAGCGGACCACCAGATTCCGTTAGTCGCCTTTGGGTTGCTGAAGATCAATGTTAACCCGGGTCTTCATGGACACCTGTACGTCGCTATTTAAGTGCAGTGATCGTGAAGAGGACGTACACACCATGTCCCTTCACTCATTTCTTGGGATCGGGTGGCGGGGGTAGCCTAATGGTTAATGCGTCGGCTCGTCACACTGAAGGCCCGGGTTCAATCCCCCACATGTGTACAATGTGTGAAGCCCATTTCTGGTGTCCTCCATCTTGATATTGCTGGAATGTTGCTAAAAGCGGCATATAATCATAATCACTCTCTCATTTCACGTGATCAATTATCATTCTCAAACAGTAAAGCTGAAAGAATTCCACAATAACGACTCTTGCAACGTCCTTTATGTTTTTTCTACAAAGCATAATGTCAAAACAACATCCCTGTCCATCACTTGGGTGATAAGACACATGTAAAATATGAGCACAGATTGTTGAATGTTAAGACCAAGGCACCGTCTTCACAAGGCTGTTCCTGTGTGTAGGAAATACACTTAAATAAAACGTTACGACAAACACCTCAACTCACCATGACGCACAACGACTAACCCTGTCCCAACTCCCTCCTGTATATACACATACTTTCATACATAAGTAGTTTCCAAAGCGGACTCCAACACAGGCGCAACTATAACCCTGGTGAAGTCGTGTATAACAGTTTGTTGTATAACTGTCCTCATCCCTCGTACACATTGGCTGGCGTTCCCTTGAAGCCGAGTCCAGTCACCCTGAACACTGACCCAGCCAGGTTGTCGCAGGTCAGGAACTGTTCGTCTGTGACTCCCTCCTTCCCACAAGTAACGTACAGCTCGTCCAGGTTCTTGCCTCCCCAGCAACAAGACGTTGTCCGAGTAGCGCCTGGGAACCCGATCGTCAACAGCTCCTTGCCTGGCAATACACTGATACATTAGTACAACAAGTAGTGTCACTGATACATTAGTACAACAAGTATAGTCACTGATACATTAGTACAACAAGTATAGTCACTGATACATTAGTACAACAAGTATAGTCACTGATACATTAGTACAACAAGTATAGTCACTGATACATTAGTACAACAAGTATAGTCACTGATACATTAGTACAACAAGTATAGTCACTGATACATTAGTACAACAAGTATAGGTTATGGTACAGCTTGTACTATATAATGTTCTCGCGTGGTATGGGCGTGTGAGTATTGCTCAACGCCACATCCGCCATCTTGCAGCTATTCGCCCAAACCATGAGTATGAAAAATTAAATCTATCCTCTGACTAGGGTCTAAACCATTCAGCTTGTTTCAACCCTATGGCTTAAAACATGCGCTTGTATGAAACTGTCCCTACGTAATAGAGGTGATAATGTATTGCATGTAAACCGGCCGCCATCAAATGCGAACCAGCACCTATCTCTCCCCTCTTCATAGGAAATACCTCCCCTCATCAGCCGTCACCTGAAGCGGCAAACGTATTTCACTGGTTCTACACCCTTGAAACCCTATCGAAAGCTAATGGAAGGGAGACCTCCAAACAACAAGAGGTTGTCTTTAAAACCAGTTGTGACTCTGGCGAGTCTTGTGCAGCTGAAGCTCCCCATACCATATAGGCTTTAAAATCAAAGACCTTTAACATCTAACACTAAATCAGACCGAAAATCAGCCAACAGACCACGCCAACATCTGCCCTAATGACAACATCAAAGGGTACAATGTAGAAAAAACTGAAAGAAGCAGATCAAATCCGCCAACACAAGCCTTCAACCAGGTTGTCTATCAATCCGCCTACACAAGCCTTCAACCAGGTTGTCTATCAATCCGCCTACACAAGCCTTCAACCAGGTTGTCTATATCCGCCAACACAAGCCTTCAACCAGGTTGTCTATATCCGCCAACACAAGCCTTCAACCAGGTTGTCTATATCCGCCAACACAAGCCTTCAACCAGGTTGTCTATCAATCCGCCTACACAAGCCTTCAACCAGGTTGTCTATATCCGCCAACACAAGCCTTCAACCAGGTTGTCTATATCCGCCAACACAAGCCTTCAACCAGGTTGTCTATATCCGCCTACACAAGCCTTCAACCAGGTTGTCTATATCCGCCAACACAAGCCTTCAACCAGGTTGTCTATATCCGCCTACACAAGCCTTCAACCAGGTTGTCTATATCCGCCAACACAAGCCTTCAACCAGATTGTCTATATCCGCCAACACAAGCCTTCAACCAGGGTTGTCTATATCCGCCTACACAAGCCTTCAACCAGGTTGTCTATATCCGCCTACACAAGCCTTCAACCAGGTTGTCTATATCCGCCTACACAAGCCTTCAACCAGGTTGTCTATATCCGCCTACACAAGCCTTCAACCAGGTTGTCTATATCCGCCAACACAAGCCTTCAACCAGGTTGTCTATATCCGCCTACACAAGCCTTCAACCAGGTTGTCTATATCCGCCTACACAAGCCTTCAACCAGGTTGTCTATATCCGCCTACACAAGCCTTCAAACCAGGTTGTCTATATCCGCCAACACAAAGCCTTCAACCAGGTTGTCTATATCCGCCTACACAAGCCTTCAACCAGGTTGTCTATATCCGCCTACACAAGCCTTCAACCAGGTTGTCTATATCCGCCTACACAAGCCTTCAACCAGGTTGTCTATATCCGCCAACACAAGCCTTCAACCAGGTTGTCTATATCCGCCTACACAAGCCTTCAACCAGGTTGTCTATATCCGCCAACAAAGCCTTCAACCAGGTTGTCTATATCCGCCTACACAAGCCTTCAACCAGGTTGTCTATATCCGCCAACACAAGCCTTCAACCAGGTTGTCTATATCCGCCTACACAAGCCTTCAACCAGGTTGTCTATATCCGCCAACACAAGCCTTCAACCAGGTTGTCTATATCCGCCTACACAAGCCTTCAACCAGGTTGTCTATATCCGCCTACACAAGCCTTCAACCAGGTTGTCTATATCCGCCTACACAAGCCTTCAACCAGATTGTCTATATCCGCCAACACAAGCCTTCAACCAGGTTGTCTATATCCGCCTACACAAGCCTTCAACCAGGTTGTCTATCAATCCGCCTACACAAGCCTTCAACCAGGTTGTCTATCAATCCGCCTACACAAGCCTTCAACCAGGTTGTCTATCAATCCGCCAACACAAGCCTTCAACCAGGTTGTCTATATCCGCCTACACAAGCCTTCAACCAGGTTGTCTATATCCGCCAACAATGAACTGATAAAACAACAGAGCACTCCAGCTATCATCGCTAATTCATCCTATCATCTATGTACATCTTTTGTTCCGCCTGACGCACACTTGGCTTCCACCAGTTGTTACTGTATTTATTACCAGTATCCATTGTACTGTCACTCATACCATCATGTTGTTTTTGTTAATCTCCATTCTCGTCATGCTCCAACGCACACAGTGACTTGGTTCGTTCCCAGCGCAACTTCGGCTGCGTTTAACAGTACTTCAGCCAAGAATAATAATGACAGTTCATCAACTCAACTTCTAAAATGCCCATCATAGAAGTACTTCAGCCAGTTTATTGTATCAGTTGGAATTTTACAATGAATGAATGAATGAATTAATTAATTAATTAAGAGCAAGAATTATACGTGAATGAATGAAAGAAATAAAGAAAAAGAAGAAAAGAAAGAAAGAAATATGTGAATGAATGAAAGAATAAATGATACACCACTGCCATCTCCCCAAACAAGTTAAAGGAGGCAAAACTATCGGTAGAACACATGTCTTAACATCAGCTGTCCTTTTTTTTTTAAATCTACTTTGAGACATGTTTTACATTAGTAACTAATTCAGATATCTTATTGCATGTGTGGAATGGCATGGACATTGACAGAATGTTAACTGACGCTGTCACACACCCCTCAAAAACAGAAAGTTTAGAACTATCACAAAGCGTTGTAAACACCTTTCCAGTTTTGACAAATACTAAGGTCAACAAGAAAGAAAGAAGTTTTAGAACTGTACCACTCAAGCATCACAAGCATCAATTGCGGATCAGAACAGATCGGCGATATGTCATATTTTTCACACACCTCAAATACAGCCTAACAAATTTTTTTAAATTATAAAACTATCACTATTACTTGCAAACACCTTTCACCTGATGGTATATTTCCCTCATAAAAACTAAAGGTGTATGTGAAAGATGTTTTAGAACAATAACTAGAAACACTCAAACAACGCCCTGTAGTATTTCAATGGCAGATCGGCGATATGTCATATTTTTCACACACCTCAAATACACCCTAACAAAAATTTTAAGTTATAAAAATATCACTATTACTTGCAAACACCTTTCAACTAAAGGTATATTCCCTTCTAAAAATTAAACGAATATGTGAAAGAAGTTTTTAGCGATAGAATTTAGTCTTTCTTCGCTGTGTACCGAGAATTGAAGCCAGTGAGCTACAACATGCCGACTTGAAACTTTACTACAAATCTACTGTACTAATACTGACACTAATAACAATTATTTGACTTAAAATGAAGTGACAGAATAGGTAACTTATCTTCTACATGTAGGTTTTCAGTTGTCACAACACTCAGCGAATGTAATCAGCTGTTGAAAATAAACCGGGCTCAATCTTAAAAACTACGCTGCCGCCATATTGGCTACACTGGTCACGTGACGAGCCGAGGCAAACGCCAAGGGGCTTTTCGAGGAGTGACCACTCCCCCCTTATATAGTCTCCCTGATTAAGATGTACAATGTATATGAAAATGTTAGTGCTGTAGGACTGCACTCGTGACAGAATCTTACCGAAACGTTGCATCAAAGTATAATGGAGAAGGTGCCATCCGTGAAGTATCCTACCTTTCTTTTTATTCAGCAACGTCTAAAATGCCAATTAAATAGATGAAACAACATGGTAACAGAATGTTTCCCGATGAAACACACGTACCTGTCTCTGGGTCGAATCGGACCACTTTGCCCACACTGTAACAAGCTAGCCAGAGTTTCCTCTCAGTGTCGATCGTCATGCCGTCGGGGAACCCGTATGTAAATCGTCGCTCAGGACCACAGTCAACAACTGTCCTCTGATTGGCTGGAGCAGACAGCAGTCGTAAATAGTGGCATGCAATATATAAACGCTTTACTTTTGTATTACAAATGGGTTTAAATAATATCAAAGACAAGCTGCATTCAAAATTTGGTCGGAAATGATTCTCATCGTGTTAAAAGTAAAGATCGAGTATTGGGCATATATGGTTTTCTAGGAATGTTACAGAAACTCGGACTCAGATGTAAGAAATGGAGGTGAACTAACACGTGTTTCCAGTATTGACGTCATAGTCGAAGGCGAAGATGTTGCCGGGGATGGAGTCGACATAGTACAAGATGCGGCCGTCAGCGCTCCAGGCCAGGCCATTGGAGATGTTGATTTTGCTGGCGTGTGTTTTGAGATCTCCGTTGGTGTCGAGAGAATACAACGTCCCCATCTCCATCTCCGGCTGGGCTGGTGCAATCTCCTACCCATGGTTCCTGGCAACAGGAAGTACGTATCTGTGTTCAGCTGACAAGGTTTTCAAGGGTTTTGTCACACATACATACATCGTACAAATCGTAAATAGTCTGAAACCGACATTCTTGCCCTCTGAAGCCAGCTCGTTCTTATATTATTGATATCTGTTCTAAAGATTATAAAGTGCATCATTAATATCGGCTGAAATATACTGTAAGGAAAACAGCGACTACCCAAACGATTACACCAGCGTACACAAATAACCACACACTAATACTCTTACTAACTTACCCTGTTATTACAGAAACGATCAATAGCCTCTTTCTTGGTCGACTCATATATTCGGGAGTCTTTTTCTATGACCAACTTGGCCAGGGTGAACTTTGACGTGGTGTCCAAGTGACTAAATCATATTTACAATCAATCATGAATTAAGGACATCGCACTATATAACATATGTTATATTTGGGATTACACTTTCTCAGTAAAGTACAGATTCCAGTACTTTTGTTTGGTTGAGTCCCATGCGGGATTCGAACCCACACCCTCAGAGTCAGGCACCTAATCGCCAGCACACAAAGTCAGCCGCCTAACCCGCTCAGCCAGCGCGAAGTCCGTGGTCTAGACGACCAGTTGTCCGACTTCCATTTTAGTAGAAGTCGCGGTGGCTGAGCGGGTTAGGTGGCTGACTTTGTGTGCTGGCGATTAGGTGCTTAACTCTGAAGGTGTTGGTGGGACTCAACCCAACAAAAGTACTAGAATCTGTACTTTACTAAGAAAGTGTAATCTCAAATATAATATGTTACATTTGACCACTTTCTAAATGGCATTGTGTATTCACCACTATATCTTAAAAAGTTAAGGTCACATGCAACGTAAAACACAACTTTGCAGACTCTGATACCTTTCGGTATGGACTTACCGAAACAAATCATCAAAAATGCAAATTCAACTTATAAAGTTGAAAAATAACGCGATGAAAAACAACGCGCGAAATCGGAGTTCAAACGATTCACTAATTTTCCCCCAGCGCTTGGGAGAAAAGTGGTTTCAACAGCACATGTGCAGTGAAACAGGTTCGCGAAGCTTGGAGGCGGGTTGTCCGGTGAATACTCGGTGAAGGCTTTGGTGTGAGCTATTTTTCTAATGTTTTGTTGATATTTCACAGGCGCGAGCTTTTTATATGTTACGACAGTAGATTACCGATTTAACTGTTTATATAATTTCATTTGTCTATTTCACCACACGTTCTTCTTTCCGAGTCACTTTCTCAGTTCGATACTTAATTAATGAGCCTTCTTCTTTGGTTTGATTATGGTTTTTATATGTGTTTGTCACCGATTGGAAGAGTTATCTCCCGTAAAGTAAAATCATCGTTGGTAACGAAGATCATTGACGGTTCTTGGTGCCGTAACTGCGCATGCTCACCAGCAAACAGTCTTCCTTTCGGGTCACACTTCCCGTCGTTGAACCTGTTGCTTGTGCCCTGGTCCACCTCCACCAACGTCTCCATAGCCTGTGTGTCCCAGTCCACCGATACCAACTTCCGGCCAAGTCCCACCACCAAGCCTCCCTTCTTCCTCGGGACTACCACAGTAGCGAACGGACCTGGCGGTATACAATCACCCACATAAATAATCTGAAGAAAGATTATGTCTAACTAAAACATAGCATAGGGCCTACTCAGTGAAGGGTAAAGTAGTCAAAGAAGCCATCATTCGTTGAGGAGAATGGCGGCACTTTAAACACCGATTGAGATACACTTGACCTGTGAGTCACAGATCCTTGCTCGTGGCCATCTGTGAATTTCTACTTTACTGGAGCACCTTTGTTTCGTGCGCACGATCTCAGCCGCAGGTCACTTGTCCCCAAGACAGACAACCAGTTTCGTGAGAATTAGTCGGACGCGAACCCGCGACCTTTGGATTTTTTAGAACGAAAACTAGATTGTAGGACAAACCCCCTGTTGACAAAAGCCCCCTAGGACAAAAAACCATAAGGACAATTACGGATGTTACGGATAAACATGGTGACTCGTGGTAATAATCTACGGACACTTCATGATCCCGACGCCACTTGGCACACTCGTCCATCTGTACAAGATACCGAGTGGTGTGGACTGAGCCGACGTGCCGCGAACTAATAACGGCTGTAAATGTCACACCTCGAATTCGTGGTACGCATTTACAAATGAAGTGCTTTTAAAAAGAATCATCGGATTATTCTGCACATAACTCACCCATATTGATCTTACTGTCAACGCCGGTGTTGGAGTCCCAACGGTGCACGTCTCCGTTGGTGATGTCCACGTAGTAGAGACTCTGCGAAGCGTCGTCCCAGTGAGGGCCCTCGCCTATGGTGGTGCAGGCATGCTTGATCACCGTCTCTACCTTATAGGATCCGGACCCCGACATGTCTGGAAGAGTGTTTATATGGCGTGAAATCATTACTCAAATGCACTTTACTGGCGTCCATCCAACGAATCATCACTTGATCGTGGTGTCGTATGCCAGTGGGGCGGTAGGGTATAGCCTCGTGGTTAAAGCGTTCGTGTTCCGAGTTCGATACCCCACATTGGCACAATGTGTGAAGCCCACTCAGGTGTTCCCGGAATATTGCTAAAAGCGGCTTAAGGCAATACTCACTCACTCACTCACTCGTATGCCAGTTGCTTGACTCAACCTCTGGACCTGTAAACTGCACGATACCTCAGCGGGGAAATGTTTCGGATATCTGACACCCGCCGCCACCACCATCCGTTCACATGGAGAAGCAGGGGCGTGTTAGGGTTACGGTCTTGCTTCACATCATTTAATATTTTATTCACAAATAAATGCAGTCGCTATAATTTAGTCGATGACAAATCTTGGCGCAGCCTGGTTCCTGGGGTATGCTGTAGGCTGAATCGTAGAAGGTAGATCACGTCGATACTAACAGGTACTGGGGAAACGCCCTATAACCTCGCAGCACCTCGGTGCTTGCCGTGACCTTGTTATAATTAGCAGGTTGTTCAACGATCGAAAGTCGATAGTGACAGTATCCATGGACAGGATCCTCTGTATCGTAGCGCATAGCGCCATACAACCAGGTATCTGAGGTACAGGTACATAACCTCTAATGGTCAAAGTGGCGCTGATATTCGAGGCGTTATTCTCAGGCTTACCTTTGCACAGATGACTTGAAACAAAGACCGACTGCAAGCTGTCGTATTGATTGCCACGAGGATAGGAAAATCACGTGACACACTGACTACATACCAATTTCATTATAACATGGATGGTCCTTCTCCAAACTGTTGTATGTATTTCTACAACTGAGTGCAGGCGGGCTGTCCCGCCATCTGGTGATATTTATGTTATGGGGCCATGTTCCAGTGTTAACTTGACATACCAATTACCATGAAGCTGATGTAGTGTGTACAGTCATTAGTACTCCCGGACCTATAACGGTCGCTGCATAACTCTTACAACTAGAACAAGGACAAGGATGTAGAGCGAAGAAAGGGGCCGATGTAATTTATTTATTCTTACTTTTTCAACTTATGTCGAGACAAAAAAACAAACATATCTAGCTATGCTCTGATCCGCGTTTAGGGACCATTCGGTTAGGGTTTGGGGCTGGAGTCGTGAGCAATGACATCGAAAGAGGGAAGCCCGGCCAAATTTGTGACAATTATTCGCGATGAAGTGGGGGCACGACTGTTGCCCCACCCCATCGCCCATCTTTAGAAATGGCTAACTGTATACAAACATTTCTTACGACTGATAATATGTGGAATTTGTCTCAAGCAATTCAGACCTAGATTCGTGAAGTTTAACATAGGCGGATACAGGAATGAGGGTGCCTGCCCCTTGCCCCCGGATCCGCCCATGAGTTACTTAACATGGAAGTTCAAAATGAAAATGTTCTCATTTTACATGATGTAAATACATAAATACAATGCCAAGATCTAAATTTGTGGACAGGATATGTTTTAGTAACTGTTTTTCAGTGAATGTCTTATTGTACTAAATGAGTATAGTCAGACCATTACTATCCGGCACCCGCTCGTCGCTAATAAAGCTACTGTTGGAGTTATGAACCTGTAAAAGCGAATGGTTGAAGCTGTACTTAAAATAGTAACGGTGGTCAAAGGGAGTTAACTCTCCTCCCCCCTCGTCATTTGCGGACTTTTTATGAGTCCTATAGTCATCCAGTTTCCGGCGGTTGGGGAGGACATAACTTCTATGATGTACTATGTGTTGCAGCAAGAAGGAACTTGTGAATGCCTATACAGAATGAGCATCTGACTTGAGTAGTGCGCTAGCAGTCCGACATCACGTTCGTGTGGAGGCAGTATTCGGTATTGGCCGTAATACGATGTCTGATAGTATCTTGCCTATCGTGGCTGGCACTGAATGTCGTGCAGTGAAACCTGAGCCGAACATAGTCACGATTTCCAGGTAACAGCCATGCTGTGTGTTTAACCTAGAGTTATACGGTGGTTGTGAAATCAAAAGCAAGAAATGAACATTTTTATAGGGGGACCACAGCCACACAGCTCGCCATTAGCGACCCCTGTCGTTAGTTAACACACATGGGAATATTCCCCCAGTGTCGTTGTACCCATCAGTCGGCCGCAGCAACATGTATGACGTATAGGAAGTATCTATGCTGTTTAGCCTCTTTGGTCAAAAAACACGAACAAAATATGCATCAGCGTTAAGTGTAAACAAGTAGGCCACTGACCTCGACAACCTTGCGACGCCCCCAGAACAAAGGGCGCTACAGCGACTATACTGCGAGCAAAACGCTTGCTGGGAGCAATATTGACCGACACAGAACTGGCTCGCTCCCATATACAGAGGCAGCTCGTATATGGGAGCGGGCCAGTTCTGTGTCGGTCGTTATGTAACATGTAACATGGGATGGAGACACACACACACCTCGCTGTCAATGTGAAACAGTTTACCGAATAATATTTTCAAAAGTATTTTTAAGAGAAAAATTCAATAATATCCAATAAGTGATCACTGGTCATATATTGAAAGGATATTGTAACCCGTTTCACCCAAACCCGTCAACACTGACCACATTCACCTATCACTGTTTCACCAAAACCCGTCAACACTGACCACATTCACCCATCACTGTTTCACCCAAACCCGTCAACACTGACCACATTCACCCATCACTGTTTCACCTCAAACCCGTCAACACTGACCACATTCACCCATCACTGTTTCACTCAAACCCGTCAACACTGACCACATTCACCCATCACTGTTTCACTCCCGTCAACACTGACCCCGTCAACACTGACCACATTCACCCATCACTGTTTCACCCAAACCCGTCAACACTGACCACATTCACCCATCACTGTTTCACCCAAACCCGTCAACACTGACCACATTCACCCATCACTGTTTCACCCAAACCCGTCAACACTGACCACATTCACCCATCACTGTTTCACCCAAACCCGTCAACACTGACCACATTCACCCATCACTGTTTCACCAAAACCCGTTAACACTGACGACATTCACCCATCACTGTTTCACCAAAACCCGTCAACACTGACCACATTCACCTATCAGTTTCACTCAAACCCGTCAACCCTGACCACATTCACCCATCACTGTTTCACCAAAACCCGTCAACACTGACCACATTCACCCATCATCACTGTTTCACCAAAACCGTTAACACTGACCACATTCACCCATCACTGTTTCACCAAACCCGTCAACACTGACCACATTCACCCATCACTGTTTCACCTAAACCCAAACCCGTCAACACTGACCACATTCACCCATCACTGTTTCACCCAAACCCGTCAACACTGACCACATTCACCCATCACTGTTTCACCCAAACCCGTCAACACTGACCACATTCACCCATCACTGTTTCACCCAAACCCGTCAACACTGACCTCATTCACCCATCACTGTTTCACTCAAACCCGTCAACACTGACCACATTCACCCATCACTGTTTCACCCAAACCCGTCAACACTGACCACATTCACCCATCACTGTTTCACCAAAAACAACGACTAGTGATACTGGACAAAGAAACTGCATCAAAATTTTTGCAACAATTTGTATCTGTAAAATGTTCTTAAGTATTTGTCATAGCAACTATACACTTATTAGTTGAGTGGGTACATGGTCTCATGCCGCCTGTAGCAACATTCCAACTATGCAGGGAATACTAGACATGGACTTAAATACACATTGATCTACCCGTGAAGGTCCGGGTTGAAATATTAATCTTCAGAAACCCATGCTTGTCGTTAGAGGCGACTAACGGGATCGGGTGGTCAGGCTCGCTGACTTGGTTGACACATGTCATCGGTTCCCAATCGCACAGATCGATGCTCATGCTGTTGATCACTGGATTGTCTGGTCCAGACTCGATTATTTACAGACCACCGCCATATAGCTGGACCATTGCCTAGTGCGGCATAAAACTAAACTCACTCACTCATTGATCTGATCTGCGGAACGGCTTAAATAACGTGTATTGAGGGGATACAGTTGATTGTATTAGTTTCCCGTCAGGTGGCTGGAGACTACGTCCTCAACTGACTGTTTGGTTAGCGACATTGTAATAGTAATATATGTGGTGTACACATAGACAGTGGACTTTAGGCACGTGCCTGCACTTAATTCTTCCGGCAATTTGTTTCACATGTGGGATGTTATGGATCTATATTTTTTCGAGAGTAGTAGGGGTGGGAAACCTCCCTATGAACTGCACGTGCATTTACCTTCATGACCCAACACTGCCGCTGTTACAGGTCATTGGCTCCCCCCTCTGCAAGCAGTTTGCGTTCTGCTGTTTATTTTGTTGACAGTTACATAGACAGATTCTTTAATACAAATGCATAAAATCGGTGATTTACAATGTGCTTAGGTTGTCTGACAAAACATCCACTTGCACAGTTTGAGATCGATTGGGTCTTTGGATGAAGAGATATTTACAAAAAACCGGGTCCACATGCATTTCATGCCAAACTATACACTTCATTACTTTCCTGGGTACGCCCCTGCTAGAACAACAGCAAGTCTATATATGATAAGTCTCAATGCTCCGGGTCGTGACCTGACTGACCTGTGTCTCGCTGTGAGACCGCTATGGACAACTGGCCTTATGATACAGTCAGGCACGCGGGGATAATATTAGACTGGCACAAGTTTCGAAAGGAAACATTAATAGCTTAAATGGTAATTTCTAAAAAAATATAATAAATAACAGACTGGGGTGCGAAGTATAGAATTACTAGACATCCATGGGAGCAGCATTCAGTACAGCCTTGGAGCAAGGCTAGGATAATATGAGCTGTGTACGGCTACATGACGTGTCGTAATGAATAAAGAAGCTCTCATTTGCACCTCAGTGTCAGCCTCGTGACGGTACCAGCGCATGTTACCGATACACGACCACAGAGAATTCTCTGACAAACGCGTTTTACACAGTGGTCAAGGTCTGCAAACAGGCACACTATCTAAAACATTGTATCATATTAATCTGGCCTTGAAACAAGGAGCTGATTGTGTTTCATGTAAACGTGCGATAGCGATAACAAATAGCTTACTGTGCTTGAAGTAATCGCTTACACTTTGGTCACAGCATCCTCGACTTACATTTGCACAACGTTTCCCCCAACAATCGTTTTAAAGCAGGATTAACACGCTAATGGAAGTTTCACAGTCTCACGGTAGTGTATTTTATGCTGCTAACATCATCAGCTGTTTGGTCGACAAAGACTTGCTTCGGGTTTCCACAAACGAGCGCTTATAAGCATAAATAGAGTCGATGGTCACGATGCAACGTAGTCACGTTTCACATTAGCGAGAATGTGTATTGTATACTGCTGACATTAATTTTTAACCTTGTCAGGTCACTATATTAGCCATTAAGTATTCAAGGTGGAACAGTTGACAATCGCACATGCGAGCACCGCTTCCCCAAGGTACACGAACATAACAAATGTATCGACATTAATTAATACACAGTGCTGTATATCTTCTTGGTTTCGTCTCCAGTATACGCGGGGGCGGTGGGGTGGCCTAGTGGTTAAAGCGTCCGCTCGTCAAACCGAAGACCCGGGTTCGATTCCCCACATGGGTACACTGTGTGAAGTCCATTTCTGTCGTCACCCGCCATGATATTTGCTGGAACAGTGCTAAAAGCGGCTCAAACCATACTCACTCACTTCAGTATACTAGAGTACTAGAGGCATTTATTTGATTATTCAGAACATCCAAATGTTTATATGCCGCGTTCAGTCAAGTAGGAACAGTAATATATTTCAGTTTACTGTTGACCTTATATAGGTTTCTGAACCCTACAGGCCCTTCTTAAAAGCAATCACGGGTTTCAATAACAGGAAATATGGACTATTGCACATAAACTACAAAACATTTAATCTGTTCACAAATAAATACATTTAGTGGACCTTGATTTAAAACGAGGCTTCATGGAGGGAACCATGACGTGATGCCTTGAAGACCTCATTTTGGAGGGGTTGTGATATAGCTGGAACATTGCTAAAAGCGGCGTAAAACTAAACTCTCACTCACTGTTCGTGTGTGAAGGTCTGACTTCTGACTTGGCTGCTGGCTGCTGCTGTTCACGGACAACCTGTCAACTGCCGCGGTGAGCTACACTGGACCCCATGCTTAGCGAAACGCAATTCCAAACTTGGCATAATTATTATTAGATAACTCATATCTTCTGTCAGCCTCGTGACGGTATCAGCGCATGTTACCGATACACGACCACAGAGCATTCTCTGACAAACGCGCTTTACACAGTGGTCAAGGTCTGCAAACAGGCACACTATCTAAAACATTGTATCATATTAATCTGGCCTTGAAACAAGGAGCTGATTGTGTTTCATGTAAACGTGCGATAGCGATAACAAATAGCTTACTGTGCTTGAAGTAATCGCTTACACTTTGGTCACAGCATCCTCGACTTACATTTGCACAACGTTTCCCCCAACAATCGTTTTAAAGCAGGATTAACATGCTAATGGAAGTTTCACAGTCTCACGGTAGTGTATTTTATGCTGCTAACATCATCAGCTGTTTGGTCGACAAAGACTTGCTTCGGGTTTCCACAAACGAGCGCTTATAAGCATAAATAGAGTCGATGGTCACGATGCAACGTATTCACGTTTCACATTAGCGAGAATGTGTATTGTATACTGCTGACATTAATTTTTAACCTTGTCAGGTCACTATATTAGCCATTAAGTATTCAAGGTGGAACAGTTGACAATCGCACATGCGAGCACCGCTTCCCCAAGGTACACGAACATGACAAATGTATCGACATTAATTAATACACAGTGCTGTATATCTTCTTGGTTTCGTCTCCAGTATACGCGGGGGCGGTGGGGTGGCCTAGTGGTTAAAGCGTCCGCTCGTCAAACCGAAGACCCGGGTTCGATTCCCCACATGGGTACACTGTGTGAAGTCCATTTCTGTCGTCACCCGCCATGATATTTGCTGGAACAGTGCTAAAAGCGGCTCAAACCATACTCACTCACTTCAGTATACTAGAGTACTAGAGGCATTTATTTGATTATTCAGAACATCCAAATGTTTATATGCCGCGTTCAGTCAAGTAGGAACAGTAATATATTTCAGTTTACTGTTGACCTTATATAGGTTTCTGAACCCTACAGGCCCTTCTTAAAAGCAATCACGGGTTTCAATAACAGGAAATATGGACTATTGCACATAAACTACAAAACATTTAATCTGTTCACAAATAAATACATTTAGTGGACCTTGATTTAAAACGAGGCTTCATGGAGGGAACCATGACGTGATGCCTTGAAGACCTCATTTTGGAGGGGTTGTGATATAGCTGGAACATTGCTAAAAGCGGCGTAAAACTAAACTCTCACTCACTGTTCGTGTGTGAAGGACTGACTGTGACTTGGCTGCTGGCTGCTGGCTGCTGCTGTTCACGGACAACCTGTCAACTGCCGCGGTGAGCTACACTGGACCCCATGCTTAGCGAAACGCAATTCCAAACTTGGCATAATTATTATTAGATAACTCATATCTTCTATATATGTGTACTTCAGCAACGCGAGTGGGCGGAAACATGACTTTTGGCCATGTAGATATCCGTGGCGAGATACAATAATTTCATTGATTCCTTTAAATAAATTTGCTGTGATGTTATGACCGTGATTTTAATACAGATGATACACGAATAGTACGTTTTTTTAAAACTTAAGAAATATCAAACCAGTATCAGGTAATCGTCGTTTTGCCCCTGACGATTAGTTTCGGCAGTACATGTGTGTGTGTGTGTGTGTGTGTGTGTGTGTGTGTGTGCGTGTGTGTGTGTGCGTGTGTGTGTGTGTGTGTGTGTGTGTGTTGACGGGGGATTATGGAGTTGGCTGGAAGCCATGTTTTAGATAATCATTACAACTTTGGTGAACACCACAGGTACGAGTACTGTCAGTCCACCTGGCCACCCCAGACTCCTCAGTGGAATTGGCCACAGTGGGACCTCTCAGTGGTTTGGCCACTCTGAGACTCCTCAGTAGAAGTCAGTGAACTAGCCACAGTAGGACCTCTCAGTGGTTTGGCCACTCTGAGACTTCTAAGTCCACCTGGCCACCCCAGACACCTCAGTGGAATTAGCCACAGTGGGACCTCTCAGTGGTTTGGCCACTCTGAGGCTCCTAAGTCCACCCCAGTCTCCTCAGTCGATATGCCACTCTGAAACTCCTCAGTCCATCTGTCCATCCTTTGACAATAGTTCGAATCCACCCATTCAGGGAAGAGGAACCTGGTGATGTTAAGCTCGACGTCAATGGAATTTGATGTCGTCGGGAAGGGCCCACTGGTGGGACGAAGGTAGATCTCTTTAACTATGAGTGATAGCCGAGCTCGGGTTTGGCGCCGCTGAAACACTGCATACGGATAGCAGCGTATCTTGGAGCAGGTACTGTTTGCCGGGGGTACATTGATGGTGCAGGGGTGCCTCTCACATGACTGTAAACTTGACCTTGTGACGATCAGACAAAACCAGGATCGACAACGGTACATCACTGACATTCTAGACATGGTTGTTGTACCACATCTCTGTGAACATCCTCTTAACATCTTCATGGACGCCAATGCTCTTCCACATCACGCATGTGCCGTTGGTGATTCCCTACATCTAGATACGGTAGCCACTCTACCTTGTCCTTTCAGGAGTCCAAATCTCCATCCCGTAGAGCATGTTTGGGAAATAACTGGTTGCAGAATACGTCAGAGAGATCCTCCATACAAAATTAGGTCTAAGAAATTCAACGAGCACCACAGTCAGTAAGGAGGAGGGTCAGGGATGTTATTGCAGATGACGCCAGGTACACCACATACTGACATTGCCATTGATATTTACGTGACTCCATGAGGCCTGTATGGAAGAAGCTGGGACCTGACCCCTCTTGTAAACGTCATACGACCATAGTCACCAGCACTGTAAAATAATTCCATTTTTTTGCCATGTTTGCCTTTGTGAATAGACGACTGTTTCGCGGGTTTTATAGATTTATCATTTAATTATTCCTCCATTGTCAGTTTATCGAAATAGTAAGTTGAATTGAGGTTTGGATAAGTTTTTTGGTAACTGATAGTGATATATTTGATCCTATACTATGGGGAATATATATTTCATACCAGTGGGTGATTCAATATAGAACAAACTTTATGGATAACAGCTTTCTGCCTAGCCTATTATGTTAATTATGTTGTTTTCTTTGTTACATTGTTACAACCAGTATATATATACTTCCCCCTTCTTCATGTTCCATTATGCTTGACAGCGGTACAAGAATCTGTATCGAAACGTCGAACTCACGAATAAAAAGAAGTTGTTATCCATAAAGTTTGTGCTATATTGTACTTCCCAACTTCTAAAATGCCTCTCAAAGAAGTTAGTGGGTGATTCGCTTAGACATTACGACACTTTCACAAGACCGCTATGTGAGTTGGTGTAGTTTTCGCCTGTTAAATTACGCTATTTGAACAATATGGCTTGGTTGGCATAAGGCAAAAGCCATTAGTGATCATTAGTATATCCAAATACTTGCCTATCTCAGTTTACATACGTATATCCAAATTTGGAAATAATTAAACCAGCCATATTTGGTAGCACTTGCTTTGTGCAAGTACTCATGATGTCCTGAATACAGTTTCATTATGGCTCCCCCCTGCTGTTATGGCTCACCCCCTGCTGTTATGGCTCACCCCCTGCTGTTATGGCTCACCCCCTGCTGTGTTATGGCTCACCCCCGCCGCTGTTATGGCTCACCCCCTGCTGTTATGGCTCACCCCCGCTGTTATGGCTCATTATGGCTCACCCCTGCTGTTATGGCTCACCCCCTGCTGTTATGGCTCACCCCTGCTGTTATGGCTCACCCCTGCTGTTATGGTTCACCCCTGCTGTTATGGCTCACCCCTGCTGTTACGGCTCACTGCTGCTGTTATGGCTCACCCCCTGCTATTATGGCTCACCCCCTGCTGTTATGATAACTCATCAAAACCAGGAGGGGGGTTTCATAGAATCAATCAACAACAAGGAGAAGTGTCATGCACGTTCAAAACGGGTTGTACGGGTTTCTTGAGAGTGTACCTGTAAACGACCACAGTATGTTCAGGTATGACTGTCACTGTGCGTAAATCGGCAATATCAATATTGTTTAAATTTTTATTTAAATTAGAAACATTTGAAAACTAAAAACAGGTCCATTTATTTATCTATTTTTAATGGGTGGGTTGAGCGCGTGCCTCCTACATACCAGACCTATTTACACTGTAGTTGTAAACAGCTCGCATACTGAACCGTGTCACCTCTGGCATGTCGCTAACAGTCAGTATTAAGTTACTGTTTCAACGCGTATATGTAAAACAACGCACAACCAGGTGCACATGACATCCTGTTCTGATTATTCTCCAATATGATCAATCTGTCACCCGACAGTAGCCAGTGAGAATGTTGAACAAAGTCTCCACCCAGATAACCGATATATACAACGTGGCCTTGGCTTATAATGTGTTATCACTGTCACAGTTTTGTTGTTTACTCCTCACAAACAATGCTATTATCCAAGGTCACCAGATAAAACACCCACTGGGTAGAAATACAACACACACTGAGTAGAAAAACAACATCTTTCTTTAACGGTTTGTTGTTAACATTATCTGTAGTATATAACATGGTCAAGATCATTACATTGAATGTGAGGGGACTTAGAGATAAACATAAACGAAGAGAAATATTTTTGTTTTTAAAAAAGCAAGATGCAGATATTTATTTGCTTCAAGAGACTCATAGTGTTCCTGAAGATGAACCATTTTGGAGTCAGCAGTGGGGGAGGAATAATCAAATATATTTTAGTCATGGTTGTTCAGAGAGCAGAGGGGTTGCAATCTTGATTAAGGGGAGACAACTCCGAGTCACTTCAGGTTCAAGTGACAACAAGATTGGGATCCACAACCAAAACTAGCCAAACCTTAGCTAATCTTATGGTTAAGCTTGAATTAACAGATATTTGGAGAGAAATCACCAACAGGAAACTAAGTACACATGGAGAAAAAATAATACTATTCAATCTAGGATTGATTTTTTTATTGTTACCAAATCTGTAGGATGTAGATGTGTTAACTCAAACATCATTC